TTTTATTATTTATCTTTGGAGAATCTATAAAACGTAACTCTTTGAACTATAAAATAAATAGTTTTTTTTTCGATGTAGCATTGATTAAAAAAAAAATAAAGGTTTTTAAGGAACTTTTTTAATATTATTATATGCAGTTACATTTTCCCATTTGTACAAAGTTAGCTTGTTTGTTTTTTTCTTTTTTTATAGTTAAGGAGTTTGTATATTGTATTTAGAATTAGCTTCATAATACTGACTTAGGATTAATTTGTAAGAATTATTAAAAAAAAAATTACACCATCGACCGTTAAAAAATTAAGTGACGGTAAAAAAATATTTTTCGACAAAGTCAGTGCATATTTTTTTAAGGCGGTTGCGTTTAATTGTAACACAAGAAAAGAGTGGCTTGTGATGTTTTTGTTTTTTCTTTGTAAAAAAATGGCTGTTGGAAAAAAAAGCGACCGCCAAAATATATTTTTCAATGTTTCAACAAGACGTCAAAAATCTTTGGTTTTTTTCAGGGAGTAAAGAACGAGTGGTCTACGTGATGAGTTTATAACTAAAGGTAGGTTTATGAACAAAATGGTAATAAGAAAATGAATTTATACCAAGATAAAAAATGTCAAGTGTGAATCGGATTTGCGTTCTCAATATATTTCTTTTTTCTAAAAGAGTTATAGACGTGGGCAGTTTTATATTTAAAGATATTTATTTTGGATTTTTTTTTTCTGTTTAACACAGGTACATTCCGTCCTTGATCGACTTCATACAAAAAACCTTCAGAAAAACTTTCAGTCTCCCGAAATTCCGGCCAACTTTTGAACTTTTTTTCTAATAATGAAAAATTGAAATAGCGGATTATAAGCGCCGAATTATGCGTCTTCAATTTTTCCTCCGAACTTTTCAAAAATTTTCAAGGGGCTATCACAAAAATATATGTAATTTATATGTTTGAAAATATTGATAGTGGGAAATCTGAGAAAAAACATATTATTCCCACTTCACATAATGTGAGAACAGGAAAAGGAGAATTAAAAAACACTATTCTTCGTCCACGGTTTCTTCGGTTATTCTTTCCATGACTGTTCATCGACATGATAATTGATAATAAAATTTTGGAATGGACTTGCCTAAAACAAAAACCAATAGGGAATACGCGTGACTTTTTTTTTAATCAATAGCTAACATATCGTTGGCTCACTATTACAAGGTTCTATGTTAATTTTAATATAGTTTAGTAATTTTTACATAGAACTTCGTTATTTTGTTATCGTAAAAAAAACAACATAGAACTATGTAAAATATTTTGTAGTTTAAGTGCCGCTATCTAGTGGTTTGTTTTTGCAAAACTGTAGCTAATGACACATAAAATCTTGTCGCATTAATAACAAAATAAATACTAAAATTGTAACATAGAACCTTGTAATTGTGAGCCAACGATATGTAATTCTAAAAAAAAATATCCAGCTCCAAAAAACTAGAATTTAGAATAAAAAAAAATTAAAACTATCATGCACATACTTTAAACGGCCACCATCTCGCGTGCTCGGCGTGACCTCACAGTATATCATACACAGAAAAATAACTGTAGTTTGTAGCGACAAAATGGCTAATCGCTCTGTTATGATAATACTTTGACGTCATATACGGTCTGACCAATGGCGTGTGTTTCAACTACTTTGAATTTACCACCTATATTTGCACTTTTCAATAATCATTTTATTAATCAAAACGAAATAACATTAAAAAATATTGATATAGACTTAATTCAAAAGACAACATATTTCACTTTTAATTAAATAACACACATATTCCCTATTGAATCCGGTTTAACACTGGCCTTACGGTGAAAAAATATGGTGACGAAATCTGCATGTCTGAGAGAACATAACTAGTTTTCGAAAGACTTGGTTATGGTTATGTATAAGTTAATGGCAATCAGCATGTTGTCTATGACCTATACCCTATATTACTCCTTCGGTGGTCTAGTGGCTGGAATGTACGGTTGCAGATCTGGTGGTCCTGGATTCAAAACTCGGCTCAGGTCATGTTAGTTATTGAGTGTCCCTCTCTAAATTTTCAGTAACCAGAATTGAGAAGCTGAATTTGTGTAAACAGAATTGAGAAGTTGACGGTGTTCGACTCCCATGTGAAGGCAGAACACGTAAAACCTTTGATACTGCGTCTAATCTTTCATAACGAGTGTCGAATTATAGTCTCACCGCAGTGTGAGTAGTGAGAGTGACAGTAATACAGGCAGTAGGTTGCGTCTGCGCGTACACTTGTGCACTATAATATCTCCTGCGCAGTTGGCCAGTTAATGAAATTGGCCGAAAAATGGCAGGAGAACAATATATTTCGACCCTCGCGTTAAACGGAGCTTCAAAATTTGTTCTATGTAAGTTCTTTCTCATATTACAAGGTAGGTAATTTTATAGGTAATGTTTCTAGTATAAGTCAACAGTTTAATCAACGGCGCGAAGTCATCAAGTAGCTTTTCTTTAGAGGATATGAATACGTTAAAGATTTTTTTTTTTGGAAATTAAAGGAATACGGTGGCAAAGTTTATGGTGAAAATAATGTTTATGTGGTCTCATTTGCTTTTTTACTAAAGGGATTTATGTTGAGGAATTATTTAAATTACTCATACATCGCTTTGTAATCAACAGGTTTATTTACTTCAATTCTCTTGTTAATGGCTTCAAAGCGTGACAGTTGAGAACAGATTACTTCGCCAATGTCACGTAGAATGGAGAAGACACGAGGGATATTGGTCAGAAGTAATGCTTTCTTGCCATTATATTATTATTGGCATTATATTATTATTATTATATTATTACTAGCATTGCCCGCGGCTTCGCCTGCGTTCAGATGACCAAAAACCAAATTCTTAGGTTTTACATATTAGTATACTCTTACAGTGTAGTTTTTGTATTTTTTCTCAGAAATTACACATTTTCTCGCGGTAAAAAGTATCCTATATGTTGAATCGGATAACCAGCTACCATCATATCAAATTTTATCAAAATCCGTCCAGTGGTTTTTCCGTTATGCGGTAACAGACAGACAGACAAAAATTCTAAAAACTATAGAATCGGCCTCTGTATCGATTATAGTGTCTATTTCAATAAGATTTCCCAAAAAAATTTCAATGTACAGATTCGGCTTAGTTACAATTTTATTAAATGTATAGATTATTATTTTTGCATATGGAATTATATTTTAAGGTATTTATAAGAAAAACACAATTGTTAAAATTTTTGTTTGTCCCGGCTAATCTCCGAAACGGCTGGGCCGATTTTGACATGACTCACTGGTAGGTAGTTGATGTTATAAGGAGTAATTTAGGCTACTTTTATTTCAGTAAAAGAATTAGGGTTCCACTTAAAAAAATTAAAACGTACCTAGCCGTACGTAGCCTTAAAAGATACACAAAAACGTTCGCATTTATAATAATAATAGTGTCAAATTTTAGCACAACGTATGCGGTATGAATGTTTATTCACCAAGCGCCAAGCGGCAACATAATATGTCTAATGTCATATAGATAAAGCTACAGTCGTGGTCGCGCGTTTGAGTTGCGCGGGCGCATCGCTGACCAATATATAGTATATTCATATAAAAGTGTTTGTTTTGACGTTTCAAATAATCGTATTGGAAACCACACGTACGTGTTATTATGGGATAGTTAAATAATTATTTTTCATCGACTGAAAAAGCTGTGAGCTGTGGCATATAATGAGACAACTTTTTGTGTATAAATACGTAATGGTAATTTCAGCTACGAGCTAAAACCAACAGCTGAGATATGAGTAATCAATGTGGTAAGAAATATCACTATCAGTGCTGTGCTAATAATAATATACCTACTAAGTGTTTTTGTTTGTTTGTTTGTTTTTTTTTGTTTGTTTGTTTGATTGATTATTTGAAGCGTGTTAATTTCTGGAACTAGGTACTAGTCTTATTTGAAAAAGTTATTTTGGATATCGTAGCGACAAGCGACATGTTCGCTTCGTTCGTGCCTAAATACAAACCATGTGTAATTTTCGCATTTATATTAACGTTTAGATTTATGGAGTGTTTTACTGTTTGTGTTTATGCTTCTACTCTCGATTTTGCCGTACAAATCGATAAGAAAAATATTATATACTAGCGGCTCAGCCTAGATTCCCACGGGAACCGTACATTTTCCGGGATAAAAAGTAGGCTATGTGTTATTCCAGACTATAATCTATCTCTATGTCAAATTTCATCCAGATCCGTTCAGCCGTTCTGGCGTGAAAGAATAAACATTCATACTCACAAACTTTCACAATTATATCATTAAAAATACGGTTATATTAGTTAAATTAATATACAAGTTTTGAGAATAAAATATGAATAGTAAAAATAATACTATATTCTTTTGTATTTATTTAAGCATTAAGTTCCCTTGAGAGAGATGTCATAATATTAGCTTATTTAATTTTATTCTACATTGTATAAACTTTGACGACACGTTTGGCTCAGCTTGTAGTGTTCCTACTTTCTGTGCCAGCGGTCGCGGGTTCGAGTCCCGTTGGAGGCATTCATTTGCGAGATAAGAACGAATGTTTGTACTTCAGTCATGGGTGTTTATATTTATAAATATGTATGTATTTTAAAGTTATATATGTGTAGTGTATCAACTATCTGGTATCCATAACACAGGCCTCGTAGCTTACCATGTAACTAGATCCAGTGCTGTGTGTTAATTTCCCAATTAATTAATTTATTATTTATATTATAATAAAACCAGTTAGGTGTTTTTTATTAATTAACTTTTTCTTTTTAATTTCTTTTCAAACTAGTAAATTTTTTTCTTTCTCTACACTAAACAATTATTACGAATAATTTCCAAGGAAAATAAGAAGTTTTCTAAAAGTACTTATATTATATATTTAAAAAAATATATATATTCTGGTTTTTTATTTGCAGATGTCAGATTTCAAAGTTAAATGAAAAGAAAGTTCCAAAGAATACAACACTTGTGATCTAAAATGGATCAATCGAACAATGAAAATGAAAGTCCACCAGTGCAAAACAAAGAACAGATAATCGCAGAAGATGGTCCCTCGAGGATGGAAGTTATCGACTTGTCTGATGAAGAACAGGAATTATCTCTCGCCGAGGAGAGTGTTATAGAGGAATGTTTGAATGATACTGAGGGCTCTCTGTCTAGTGTTGATCTTGATTTCTTTGCACCAACACCCAAACACAAGAGAGTAACAAAAAAACGCTTAAAAGTCTTAGATATTGCGCAAGATTTTGAGGAAGATTCATCACTACAATCTATCTCATCCATAGAAGATATATCTGATCTTGTTAGTAATAGTAATGAATTACCAGTGTTGAATGATTTGAATATCAATCCGACAAGTGAAGAATTAGAAAAACAATTGTTAGGAGATATGATGCAGACTACAGCAAAAACATCTACAAAGGAGAAAGACGCAAATGAAGTGAGACAACGCAAAAGTTATGCCAAGGCTTTTATGACAGTACCTAGAATCAGTAACTCATCGTTTCATACCCCGGTTATGCCTATACGGAGAAAAAGAATAATGAGGAAACGTAGAAACTCTCCGCCCACAAAGAAATATGATAAGGCTCATATTCACAGTTTTTTTTCGGCAATGGCTGATCTGGTTGTTAATTTTCCTTACACCGAAGTAATAACAGCTGAGCGTAACGTAACCTTGATTCTTCGTAGTATGGTGGCAAAATTACAAGAGTGGCAAAACGACACTTCTCCCAACAAACCTTTTCGAAACGCAATAAACAATACAGATATACTTGCCATAGAGCTTAAATTGTCCAATCCTCCGTTTCTCCATTAATTTAGTAAATTATAACGTAAGGCTTTCTCGTGTTATTATTTCTAGATTTAATTTTCAAAAAATCCCACTTATCATGTCATAATTTCTAATTAAATAGTACATTGTATAATGTTACTGAATTATAAATCAAACTCCTAAATAGCACCTCATGGTAGTTATACATATAAAATGATCTTTTGGAATTACGTCTGAGAAACTCGTTTGAGTTATTATAATAAATACAACCCGATGAAAGTGTCCAGTCAGTAACAATAGTCGTCGTCCACTGACATTTATTTTGGCTGACCCCTTTTATATAATACTAGCGACCCACCCTCGCTCCGCTCGAGCTCGTCCCTACTTACGTTTTAACGTTTAGTATAGATTTCTCAGAGATAATATATTTTTCCGCAGTTAAAAGTATCATATATGTTGACCCGGATAACCAGCTACCATCATACCAAATTTCATCAAAATCTCCCCCAATGGTTTTTCGTGATGCGGTCATAGACGGACAAACAGACAAAAATTCTAAAAACTGTAGATTCAGCCTCTGCATCGATAATAATGTTTATTCCAATAAGTATTTCCAAAAAATATTTAATGTACAGATTCGGCTTAGTTACAATTGTATTATATGTATAGACTTTAGTCTGAGTAAAGAACCTACAACTTGCATACTTAATATTATAAATGTGTGTGTTTGTTTGTCTTTCTTTCAGCTTAAAAGAGAGTCCATAGATTCGCGTGATTTTTTGTGTGGAGATAGTTGGAGGGCTGGACAGTGACATAGGCTACTTTCATTCCCACAAGAAACACGTTATAATACAACGCAATAAATGATTTATAATTAGAAATACTTGAAATTTGTTATAAATACTTGTTTTAGCATTTTTTAAAATTCATCCCATAATGTAGAATAAAAAAGATATGTATGTGTCAACTTTTTACTTAATTTAGCCTAATGTTTTCTACTCTAATTATGTGTTTCTTATTTGTGGAAATTTAATAGGTAAATGTGTGTATTTTTATTGTAAGTTTAATGTTCTGTAATAGATATTGTTTGTTTCCCTATAATCTATATATAAAATAAAATTGCTACTAAGCCGAATCTGTACATGAAATATTTTTTGGAAAATCTTATTGAAATAGACATTATTATCGATACAGAGTCCGAATCTATAGTTTTTATAATTTTTGTCTGTCTGTCTGTTTGTTACCGCATCACAGAAAAACCACTGGAGGGATTTTGATGAAATTTGGTACGGTGTTAGCTGGTTATCCGGGTCGACATATAGGATACTTTTTACCGCGGGAAAATGTCTCATTTCTGAGAAAAAATACAAAAACTGCAAAGTAAGAGTATACTAATATGTAAAACCTAAAAATTTGGTTTTTGGTCATCTGAACGCGGGCGGAGCCGCGGGAAATGCTAGTGTGGTATAAAATGACATATATGTAGATAGTCTGCCCAGCCAGTCGCTGCACCAAAAAACTTCGGCAAATAAAAAAAAAAACAGGTATGAAGGTTTCACACCTTCAATCCTTTTTAAAATCCTACTACTAGGCAAGGATCTTCAATACGAGGGGATCAGGCCATATTCCACCCCGCTGGCCAAGTGTGGGCGAAATGAGTAAGTATGTCTTTCGAAAACTTGCTAGATTCTCTCTCAGACATGCAGGTTTCCTCACGATGTTTTCCTAAATCTTAATAAATTTGTAATCAAATAAAATTATTTTTTATCGGATGGAAAAAATAAAAATACTTTAAATCGAACAGTATCCATAGCAAATGGTAGATAAATTTTATTTTACTTTGTTATAATAATACTAGCGAGTTACATTTGCTTCGCTTCTGGTATCTTTTTACTAAATTTGTTCCAAATCTGATTAGCCGTTTAGCGTGAAGGAGTAACAAACATGTACACATTTTTTACATATTATGTAGTCTTAAAAGTGTGTAATCCCGCTGAGTCATACACAATGCGCGGGCGCAGGCAATGCCCCCACTCCTGAAGCCACACGCGACGTTCGACGTGCGGTTAGTGTTTATCACATTACGTATTCCATATATTAAATACACATTTAAGTTTTTATTAAAAATATTTTAAATGTTATCTTTATTAATATAGGGCTCTCGTAATATATGTATGTATTTCGTTGTCAGTGATCGTGTCGGCCACTCTGTTTGTCAGTTATAGTTGTCCTTGAGAATCATGAGTCTCTACGATAAGAGCCAGGACGAAATGTTGATAGATCTAGTTAGTAAGAGACCTATAATATACAGCAGCTCCCACCCGCAGCATCGAAACTATATAGAAAAGCACCGCGCGTGGGAAGAAATAAGTGCCATTCTAAATACTCCAAGTAAGTATTGACTAGCGAAATATTTATCTACAAGTGATAATAAAAATTATTACTAATCGTGTTTTAAATAACAACCTTTTTTATTATATAGTTAAATTTAATGACTAGATTTGCTAAATATATCACAGTAACAACACTTCACTTTTAAATGCATTATCATCGTATTATTATAGTCAATAACCTTGAAAAGCAATGAGAATGTTGGCTTCCTTTCAATTTGATAACAAACATGGCGCGCTAATAACCACAGATAACTTAATTGCATACTTACGCCCACAGATTATAATATAATGAATTTTCTAATATCGAAATAAAGTGATATTTTAAGGGTTCCATGCCTCAAAAGGAAAAACGGAACCCTTATAAGATCACTTTGTTGGTTGATCGGTCTGTCTGTCAAGAGTGAAGACCCTTTTACTCAGGAAATATATATAAATATTTAGTTCTGTAATCCTTTGGAGCCGTGGAGCTGTGGGAAAATCTTAAATTAACGCAATCCAAAGATACGGCGTTCATACTGCATACTTTGACACTCGCAAAGGGATCCAAACCTGGAGGTCACTTCCCGTTGACGTAGTCATAAAATTTGGCGAGAAGCAATATCTTATAGCACAAGTAATGGGAAAATCCGAAAACCGTAAATTTGTCATCATAAAAACAAACTTTCTTTTTGCGGTTATAAACTTTATTTAATGTTTCATGCTACGATACACTTGGTGTTCGAGTCAGACTCCCACTTTTCTGACTTTTTTTCATAAGTCTCTCTTTTCTGAAAGAACAAAAACCGACGGGAAAAATATAAGAGAAAATAAATTAATTACTTTATCAGTTCCAGGTTTAAAGCAGCGATGGAAACACTTCAGAGACCACTACCATAAAAAGAAAAAACAAACACAAAAAAAGACCCAATGGAAATATATGCATTTACTTAGCTTTCTATCACAACATCCTAAAAAAGATGCACTACCAGAAAATAAGACTGAAAAAAAAGAAATGACACAAAAGCTGTCGACAGCAGCACACAATGAATCCTCAGATTTTTCAAATGTGTCTGAGTATGAAAACGAGGGAAGTGAATCTGCTTCTTCAACGGGAAGTTTTAGTTACAAGCAAGCAGAGTTGTTGCAACCAGAATTGGCGACTACAGCTAAGCATTTAGATCCACCCTACGAAGAAGCCAGAAATCAAACTGACCACAAACACGCTCAAACCATTAAAGAAAAACAAGAGATACAAAGCTGTCGTCAAAAATTGCAAAGAATTGTAAGGACATCGTTATTAAAGTCATATATACGACGTAGAGCTCGTATTCTATCCAGATCAAATCACAAATCTTCGGAAAGTCCAACTAGAGAAATGTCTATTGACACCTCTTTGGGACTTCATGCAAATTCTAATAATCACGAAATACGTAAAAGTACAACAACAGAACCAACTTTAGTGCCAGGAGTTCTTGGGGCGAACTCTGAAGCCAGTGGAAGTAGGTCAGAAGTAGTGAAAACTGCAGAATTTATTGAGAGTACTCGCAAAATTTCCTCAGGCCATGGAGACGATTTTGACGAATTACAGATTGATCAGTTAAGGAACCCTACGATACGTAAAGAATCATCTCCATTGTCTCCAATCGGTCCAGTTCATCGATTTTACGAGGCAGTTGCTGAGGTCGTTTCAATGTTTCCACCACACTTGGTTTCCAAAGCGAAGCTCGCAATTCACAAAAGCATATACCAGATAGAAAGAGAGTGCCTTGGCTTAATGGACGACGACGATGACGACGACTTAAACTCGTAAGTTATTTTTATTATATAACTATGGAAATTCATCAGAGACAAAGAAAAATTAGTTTGGAAAAAATGTTATTTTTCCTAGTTATTGATGTTTGTGTAAAATTATTAAAAGATATAAAATAGATCCCAAAAAAGTATATTGTGGTTTTAAAAAATATTTTTGGAGGAGGAAAACGAAATAATCTAATTATTTTTTGTCACAGAACCAGACAGAATATCCAACAATGTGGTGTCATTGTTGGATGGTTTGTCTGGTTTTGGGTTCTGCTAAAATGTTCACATGAGAAGCAATCCTCTCTAAAGTCCATGCCTGCTATTTTTAACGACTGACCCTGAGATTTATTAATTTGCAAAGCCACCTTTAAGGAGGAAATACGATATTATTATTGCTAGAGTTCACCGAGTGGTCGAAATTCGACCATGATTATTATGGTTCTTTTTTATTTTTTTTTATTATTATTTTTTTATCTAAATCTCGTCAATAGCTATTAAACTATACATGATTCTCAATTTGACCATAGACTTTAACAATAAACAAAAGAGTATATATGCGTGTGTGTGTCAAATATATGGTAGTGTGTGTAATGTTTTCTTTATTGATTTAATGTATTTTTATGTATAATTAAACAAAAATATTAGCATTCTGCACTCCTTCTCTATACAAACAATAAGTGTGGGTTTCACACTCCTCCGTCCGCGCAATTTTCGTAAAAATGGGTACAAAGATTATTTTCTCTGAACATTATCTTACTTTGTGTTTTAGATTTTTACAAGCAACAGAAACGCGGTATGGAGCAGAAAGTGAAAGACTGGTAAGGGAGTTGGCTGTCCCGCAGTACGTCGCGCTCACTAAAAAGAGGATACGAGAAGAAAATGAGTTCTTACGCAGGGTTTCACGCCACACGAAGTTAAAATAATACTTTCTTAGATCTACGCGAATGTTTGACATTATTAAATAAAACTATCTTTTCGGATTATTTCGCGGATTTATTTTGATTTTTGGTTCCTGACGTTTCGAATGCTTTACAGTTTACAGCATCCATGGTCACGGGAGAGACTGAGGTGTTACATGTCTTAAAGGTATAGTTGTTACAGACAGCCTACCCACAATTAACTTCACTATTTATTTTATAAAATTTATATTTATTTACTTTAAAAATTTTCATTTTGTTAATTGTGGGTAGGCTGTCTGTAACAACTATACCTTCAAGACATGTAACACCTCAGTCTCTTCCGTGACCGTGGATGCTGTAAAGTGCTGTAAAGCATTCGAAACGTCGGGAACCAAAAATCAAAATAAATCTGCGAAATAATCCGAAAAGATAGTTTTATTTAATAACGAAGTTAAAAGTTAAAAAAATGTGAATGACAAAATTAAAATTAAATTTATTCAATTAGATTAGAGATAGACAAGCACTATTCAATTGGGAATTTGTTTTAACGATAGTCAGTGGCATCGATCCTTGAGGAAGCTAACTTGGCTCGGAAGGCAGTTCTGCTGAGAGGATCGCCGGGATTTACTCAACAAGTGTTCTTCTTACAAATCAAATTACAGTATTTAATACATTATAGCTAACCGAAAATGACCTTATTTATCTTATTTCCACACAATTCCATCAAAAAGAAAGTCTCGAACAGAGTAATTTACTTTATATAGTTGAAAAGGTAAATGTAAGGTTGTCTGTGGAATTTTATTCTATTTCAATTAGATTTTCCAGTAACAATTTTATGTATGTAATTTTATGTAACAAATTCGACTAAGTTACAATTTTATTATATGTATAGATATGTATACTCAGCAGCGCGTTAGTTTTATTTACAGTACGGGATACTAAAGAAAAAGATTTTGTTAGAATAAATATCTATTTCATTTCTGCGGCATTACCACAAAGAAGTATCCTGCATTTTAAATTCTACGTATTTAACTGTTTAACATGTTGCACAAATTATTAACGCATGTTGGTAGTCACGGAACTAACTTGATATAATTATAGAGTTTACCAGAATTTGTAATAAAATGAAATAATATTCGGCCATTTATGACTTAAATTACGTTTTCACTATACAAACGAAATATACCAGCCATATTAAATTTTGATTTTATGAAAACTTACGACTAAAATTACACTAAAAAGGGTGCTCATCCCGTGTTTCGGCACCAAAAAGAGGATTCTGCTGGAGGGACCCGCCGGCATTCTAGGTCAGAAGGCTTGACCTTCTGCCGATATTAAAGACGATAGAACCTGGTAAGACAGATGGGTTTTTACAGGCAGAATTCGCCAGGTCAGGTTAAATAATATTTAGTTTCTGTAAGAAAAAGTCTTATTAGTTTTACGCAAATATTTGACATATTTTGTTGTGGTTTTATTGTAGTGACTGCACTTGCCCCCGCTTCGCTCGGGAGCGACCTGCGTAGGTACGTTTTCAATAGATAAAAATAGTTATCGCGAGTGTACCTTAGGAGATACACACATGCTATCGCGGACTTTTTCGTGAAATCTTAAATTCGAATTATGCAGAATTTTGAAAGGTTTTCGATTCTCTCAGTAAAAGTCTTTATCTTTCAGTAAAAGTCACATCACAATCAGGTAAGCCGTTCTAAAGATCACTCCGGACAAACAGAAAGATAGACAAAAGTTATAAAAATCTTGTTTAGGTACTAGTATCATATAAATAACTCTATGTACTTGAGAATATATTTATTTTGAAATCACAGACAGACACTTGATTTTTTTTTATGTGAATAGATTATTATGTGTGCTTGGTTGAACGTAAAATTTCTCTTGCGTCTCTTTCCCTCTTACGACCGTAGTAAAGTGTACATAGAGTAAGAAGAGTTCATAATCTGAAAAAAAATATATTATATTGTATTGTTCATAATTTCATGGGTTTTAATTTTTTTGCGCGAAACCCTAATTCTTTTTCCAAAATAAAAGTAGCCTCAGTTACTCTTTATAACATCGCCTATCTGCCAGTAAAAGTCCCGTCAAAGTCAGTCCAGCCGTTTCGGAGATTAACCGGAACAAACAGACATACAAAACTTTTAATAATTGTTTCTTTCTTATAAGTACCGTATATTCTTTAATAAGTACGAGTATATGTACGTTTATTAAAAAGCTGTTATTTTGATATTACAAACAGACACTATACCTATAGATAAATATGTAAATAAATTATACGACCTTAATATAATTACTTTACCCGATTTAGGCTATTCTTTAAAATAAAATAAATATTTAAATTTATTTTAGTGAAACTCAGAAATATTAAAATATACGTATTATTATTTTATTTATTATTAATGTTGGGTGTGGTGCCGAGGTCGGCCCTAGCTACGTCGACCAGTTTTGGTCCATTGTAGCTCCCTTTATAGTGAGTTCAAAGTTCTCCGCTTAGTCCTGTTGACTCCAGGAACTTCCAGATTTTCTGAGCGGGGAGCATCTGTATCTCTTCCGGTTGCATAATATGCTGCCCTAGATAGATACTTCTGCGGTGCATGAGTGGACCGCACGAGCAGAGGATATGCATAGCAGTTTCCTCTGTCTCATGGCATAGTCTGCACATTGCGGTCTGACTGAGGCCGAGGGTAAACATATGTTTATTGAGTTTGCAGTGACCAGTAAGTATTCTGGTTACTGCACTGGTTTTATACTTGTTGAGTTGAAGCAACTCTTTTGTAAACTTTTTGCGATATCCCTTAATTAGCGCTTTAGAGTGTATTTGTCCAGAAGTGGATTGCCACTCTTGAAGTGCTTGGCGATTGCAGTGAATTTTGAGAATTGAATAGGCATGTTGTTTTGCAATGCCACAGAATGGTTCTGGGCCACAATCTGGGGTTTCAGCGCCCCTTCTTGCCAATGCATCAGCCTTTTCATTCCCATCTATGCCTGAGTGACCCGGGACCCATCTGAGGGTAACTCTGTTGGATGTGCCCAGGACATTCAGATTATCCATACAGTCTTTGACCAACTTAGAGTTGGTCTCAAGAGAATCTATAGCAGAAGTGCTGCTTGGCTATCTGAGTTGATGTAGATATTTTGGTTTCTAAGCTTCCTCTCCAGGATGACTTCAGCACATTTGTTGATGGCGAAGACCTCGGCTTGGAAGATGGTGGCCTCCTTGCCCAGATTGACACTCATGTCAAATCTAGGCTTAAGGCCATAGATGCCGCACCCTACATCAGATCCTTTCTTGGATCCATCTGTAAACCAAACATGACTGCCCTTTTTGTGAGACTCTTGGTTTTTTAGCCACATGTCCCGGTTGGGAAGATCTATTTGGTACTGTTTTGCGAAGTTAAACTCTGTACTCATGCCATCGACTGGCATTTTCAGAGTTTTGTGTTCGAATGTCAACTCCTTGAGTTTGTTCATATATTGCGATTGCAACTTTACATTCGATTGTGTACAGAGCCTGTAGAGGCAAGATTTAGCTTCTTTTTGCACGTGGAGATATAGCGGAGCTATGTCCAACAATGCATTTAAAGCGTCGCCTGGTGCCGAGTGGAAGGCTCCCGTGATGATTAGACATGCCATCCGTTGTATGCTGTCTAGTTTACTCATAGTTGTCTTTTGTTTGGTTTTGTTACACCATACGACTGAGGCGTATGTTATGATCGGCCTTACCACGGCGGTGTACATCCAGAGAGCCATTTTGGGCTTGAGGCCCCACTTGGCTCCAGCCATTCGACAACATATCCAGAGGGCCATTTTGGCTTTTTGTATAATGTTGTTGAGGTGAGAGTTCCAGGTCAACTTTTGATCAATAGTGACTCCAAGGTACTTTACCTCATTTGATAGGTTAAGGGTTTTGCCATTGAGTCTGAGTTCGGTCAGCCTTACAAGCTTCCTTTTCCTGGTAAATGGTACAATAACTGTTTTATCAGCGTTTATTGATAACTCATTTTCTCTGCACCATCTTGTGATGGTATTGAGAGCTCCTTGTAACCTGGTGGAAATTGTGTTCAGGCAGGGACCTCTTACTACTACAACAAGGTCATCTGCATAGCCCTGTGTATCGTAGTCGAGATCTGCCATGATTACAAGTAGTAGGTCTACAGCTAGTGTCCATAATAGGGGTGAAAGCACTCCTCCTTGCGGACAGCCTCTTGTAGTGTAGAAGTTGTGCGAGTGTTCGTTTAACGTAACTTTCGCACACCGGTTGGAGAGCATATATTCCACCCATCTGGTGGTTGTGATATCAACACCTTTTGCATTTAATCCTTTCAGGATGGTTGCCGTAGGTGTGTTATCAAAGGCCCCCTCAATGTCCAAAAATGCACATAGAGCTGTCTGCTTATCCTCTAGGGACCTTTCTGCCTTGTCGATCAGAGCTACTAAGGCAGATTCTGTGGATTTACCCTTTTGGTAAGCATGTTGGTTGCAGGAAAGTGGTCTAGCCACAAGATACCTTGTTCTAATGTGCTGATCGATTACTTTTTCCATTGTTTTTAATAGGAAAGAAGTAAGACTAATAGGTCTAAAGGATTTGGGCTGAGAGTAGTCGTTTTTTTACCGATCTTCGGTATAAAGATAACCTTGACCTTAGTCCATTGTTCTGGTATAATGCCCAAAGCAAAGCTTGCTCTAAATAATTTTACCAGATGCGGGATAAGGAGTTCCATGCCCTGTTGAAGCAGAGCTGGAAAAATTCCGTCTTCCCCTGCTGATTTAAATGGTTTGAATTTTTTCAAAGCCCATCTAATCTGGTTAGGCCTAAAAATGGTATTGGCCATCTTCCAGTCGCAACTATTTGCCCTGTGGATGTAGTTTTCCTTTGGGTTTGATTCACTGCCGGTGACAGGGTACGATCCTGGGAAATGGGTTGCTCTTAAAAGTTCCAGCGTCTCCATCTCTGTGGTCGTGAAGGAATTGTCTCGCTTTTTTAAAAAGCCGAGAAAGATGTTTGGTGTCTTGGCAAGGACCTTGTGGATTCTCGCTCCTTTATGTGTTTGGGCGATATTCTCACAGAATCGTTTCCAAGATGCTCTTTTAGCTTTTCTGATCTCTTTGTGGTATTTAGTCAGAGCCTTCTTATACCGTTCCCACCCATACGGTGTAGTGGCCTGATTAAATAAGCGACGTGTGGAAACTCTAAGTCGTTCTAGCTTTTTGTTCCACCACGGAGTATTGTTGTTAACCTTAAGTTCCCTGACAGGACAGCTATTTTCATAGGCATTTAAGATGCCATCCGTTAATAAGTTGTTTAAAATGTTAAGGGAGTCGGGTGTCTTGATTGATTTTGGAAAATCCTTAGCTGCCTCAGCGAGCAGGTTTTTAAAATCTACCCACGAGGTGGCTTTGGGATTTCTAAGCCTTTTAGGCTCAGTAGTTATTGAGCCTTGTATGCTAAAGACAATATGTTTGTGATCGGACAAAGAGTTTTCATTACTGACATGCCATTTACTTATGTGTTTAGCGATTTGTTCAGTAGCAAAAGTGATATCCAGAACTTCCTGCCTAGCTCTAGTAGCGAAGGTTGGATTACAGCCTTTATTAAGTATTTGAAGGTCGTTAGCTAGGAGAAATTCTAAAAGTAACTCACCTCTTTTGTTGGTATCAGTACTTCCCCAGATTGTGTGATGGGCGTTTGCATCGCAGCCAACAATTAGTTCTGTCTTGTGTTTTCGAGCGTAGTCGACGACTTTAGACAGTTCTTCGGTGGGGTTGGCTTTCTCTCCGGGCAGGTAGGCCGAGCACACAAGTGCTCTAGTTTGACCACGCCCTCTGAGAACGGTGATTGCAGCAACGGTGTCATCACTGCAAAGTTCTGTAACAGGCAAGAAATTAATACCTTTCTTAAAAACGATACAGGCCCTAGGCTTGGTGCCATTTTCGTTTGCTAGGATCTTACCTACTCCATTTAAGCCCGAAATCTTGGACTTGGCGTTAAGCCATGGTTCCTGGACCAGCGCTATATCCATGCCATTTGCCCTAAAAGTGTTTTCTGCCACGGCTGTGGCAGCGATAGCGTGGTGTAGATTGGCTTGGAGTATTTTAGTGGGGGCGTCGCCAGTTGGGTGTGAAGCGCTACTGGGGACGGGCCCCATTGCGCTTGTCACTGCCCTTGCTGGGTCTGGGTCCCTTTTGTTTGCGGGGGCGCTGGCTCTTGCCTCTGGGGGTTTGTCCACCCCTGGTGTGCCCCCCTGTACGAGGAAACCTGTGCGGAGTACCAGTCGCTCCGCTGGTCCCGGCCACAGGAGCCACGCCAGGTGCAGCAGATGGTAAAGGCGCAGCAACGCTGGCGCTTGCTCCAGCAGCCGCGGCCCCAGAACGAGAGGTAGACGGCACAGGTTCAGAGGGAAGTGTCCCAGGATTCGTTGGCGTCTGGTTGATGCCCTTAATACGGAACTGGACCGATTTGAAAGCCAAGTAGGCCTTCATGCCGGTTTTTTGAAGGGTCTCAACAGATTGGTCGTCGATGGAGAGGGTGAGTGTGATCCCGCCCTTCTCCGCCTTCCTATTGAGAACCTTCCACAGCTCCGTATTAAGGCCATCATTTTGTATCCGGAGACAGGAGAGCGCCTTATCAACGTCTTTGGCCTCCGGATCGGGAATGTATACCACCCCAACCCTTGGTTTGGGCAAGTCGCTCTCATTAATGAGAGCGAGCTTAGCTCCTGGCCACGGCTGTAAGGAAGGTATACATTTCTCAAGCCATTCCCTGGCATGCTGGTTAGCACAGGTGATGAGTAGCCAACCCGGCTTGAATGATAGTCCGCCAAAGGCAGGTCCCTTACCCTTCTCCAAAGTGGTGATTTGGGCCACAATTGCGTTGTAGAGTGACTGCAGCTGTGCGTCAGTCATGGGAGTGGAGTCCCTCACGCCAACTTTGGAGGAAGATAAGGCCGCACTATAGGCAGCTGGAGGTGGTGGGGCCGACGGTGCTTCGCTCGACCTTTGGGACTTCCTCGCTGGTTGTCCCTGTGGCGATTCCTCCTCCGAGCGAGTCCTTTTGATGGAGCGCTCGGATTCGGGTTTCGAAGCCTCGAAACGATACCCCATAGCCCTGAGTTCCGCAAAGGTTTTAGCGGACAGTTCGTAGGCTTTTGCAGCCTCCACTCCCTGTCCCCTAAGAGCCTTAAGTCGGATTAAGGCTGCCCCACTCAATCTTTTGCGTTTGGGTCGGGCAGCATCAGAGGAGGTGGCAGCAGGGTTACCAGTAGGTGATTCAGGGCTTGTAGAAGCCCCTATCGCCATTTCGGTGCCTGCAGTCACCTCCATTGGTTGCGCTGACATTTGGGCGGTTTCATCCGCACCCATTGTCAGCGGCATGAGGTCCTGGCACAATTCGTCCAGGGTTTGTGACGTGGTAACGTCATTTACTTTTTTATCTTTTTGGTCCATATTCATTCAGGTCCCACGAGTAGCTAGGGAAATAAAAATGCCCACCGACAGAGCCCCGCATGTCGATGGGAGGACTTAAAATACTACCCGATTCGTCCAGGTGTCGGATAGCCACCGTTAGCGACTGAGCTCCCCCCCAGCCACGCATCCCTCGGCACGGTACGAATAACACCTTGGATTGGGTTCTAAACTAAAGCTATACATATACGTACATATATATTTCATAGATACACTTACATAGACATACATAAACATACATATATAAATAAAAGTGAAAGCAAGCGCTCGGTGTTTTCTGTTGCGTCTATTTCCTAGTGAACTAGACCAATAACAGGGCTGGCAACCTCGTGAAGGATAGTACACCGAACTTGCCTTGGGGATCTTTGCGACAAAAGCGTCACTCTCCCCCAAGACCAACGCCACCCTACCGTCTCTGAAGGAGACAGTAGGGTAGGCCTGCGCCTACACTACCATGCGAAGCATGTCGTAAGGGAACCGTGAAAGCATAGATCCAGGCCCGCCCCTTTTACGTATCTACTAGCATATTTTTAATATTAGTTGTGTTAGTCGACACTTACTCAATATACTATTTACTCAGAATATTAAAAATAAAAACTTACTTTATACGCAGTACACACTGTTAAGTGTTAACAAACATTTTTTTTTAATATTTTTTTTTTAATAAAAACTCACTTACCGAAACAAATAGGTCCATATCAAATACCATCAAATTGAATGCTGTTATTGTAATAGGTATCTATATGTAAAAAATAATATATTTTAACTAAAAAAATCTGGTATTTTATACGAGTATCCACACTAATATTATAAATGCAAAAGTAACTCTGTCTGTCTGTTACGTTTTCACACCTAAACCGCTGAACCAATTTTGATGAAGTTTGGTCCCTTATTTGACCTTGATTGGTCACACTTTTCTAAGTCAGTGGTAGCTCAACGGTGACGCGCTCGCTTGGGTAACCGAGTGTAGCGGGTTCAAATCCCGGGTCTCGCACCTCTGATATTCATCATGTGCGAATCATTTCCAACATGATTACTACTTGTCCTATAGTGAAGGAACACATCGTGAGGAAACCTGCATGTCTAATAAAACCTAAGAACTTTTCATCAGATTCGAAGACTGCCTACCGCCCGCGCTTGGCCAGCGTGGTGGACTATGGCCTGATCCCCTTCGAATTGAAGGGAGGCCCACCCCCAGCAGTGAAATGTTAAAGGAGCTGAACACAATGTCCTTCTCCAAGGTCCCATCAAAATTAATATAAAATTAATCAAAATTGGTTTAGCAGTATTAGCGTGAATACGTAACAGATGGACAGACTGAGTTACCTACTTTTGTACTTACAATATTAAGTATAGATGGATTTACCTGTGCCCTGCCAATCATAAATACGATCATTTTGCGTATAGGTATCGAAGACACGCGTTCCCATCCAGCACTATATATAAGTGTTGCTGTTTCCAAAGACTGAAAAATACAGACAATGTACGAATGGAAAAACTTCATGATTTTACATAAGGGACTTTATAACATTTCATTTTATATCGTATCTTAAAAATAAAACCGCCAGTTTTAGTTATTTATTATTTCCTTTATTTATTTCGTACTTTGGAAACTTATTCGTTGTGGACAGAATTCAGTACAGAACTGAGCACTAACGATGAGATTCACAGTCGTAACTTTACATCTCGAAGTTTACTTTCAATCACTTTGACTCCTCACTTGTATATATTGACATTTCCATAAGGCATATTCCTAAACTCCAATTCAATTCTCTTGTTAACGGCTTCAAAGCGTGCCAGTTGAGCAGAGATTGCTTCGCCAATATCACGTAGAAAGGAGAAGACACGAAGGTAGTATTTCTAAACTTAACAACCTGAATAAATTTAAATACCTTTTTCTGTCATAATTTTAATATTCATATGTAAGTGATGTAACTTATCCGGAAAGGCCATTCAAAGTACTCTTTGGATTTCAAAGTGACCAATAACAACGACACTGTCTTTACTAAGCAAATCATGGATTTCTTAAGTAGAGTAAACGTTTGACAAGACCATGAAACTTTAAGCACCGCTCGAATTTGGTTGCGATTTTAAATTTACACTCAAAGGGTAAATAAAAAGGCGATAAAATAAAATTTTGTTCTAGAATTTTTTGGGGGTCCAATGCTAACTCGTCTGTGCTAGACTCAGATCGAGTATAACTTAGTCTTGACTCGATGCTGTCGTCTTCGTTTAATATTAAACATAGGGACCACATTTTAAATAATAGCAATCATGTCTCTGACAACTACACAATGGCTTTTAAGACGTCTAACACCTAACCGACCTAAGTCTCTCCCGTGACCATGATTGCTGTAAAGCATTCGAAACGTCGGGAACCAAAAATCAAAATAAGTCCGCGAAAAATCCGAAAAAATAGTTTTATTTAAAATGTCAAATACTCGAATAAATCTAAGAAAGTATTTTACAAACCATATGTTTCAATTTGGCGCTATAACGACATGGCACGTAGATATGTGTCACAATGCCTACCATGAAGATAATATATCGTGGATCCAAACCGTATCCCTGAAAAAAATATGAATATCTTTTATTATAATCTGTGGACATCATATTCCTAAGATAACATGGATAACATAGTATCTATACAAACCTATTAAGAGAAAGAAGAAAAAAAAACAAATATTTGGTAAAATATGATGGCAAAGTTTACACAATAGTCTTTTCGTCATCAATTTTTATACTGACCTCAGAAATCAAGTACATACACGTCCCTATTTGAATCATGGTGGCTACAAGTATCAAGCCAAGCCAAATGTTGAATGTGTCTTGTATGAGATCGACAAATCTATAATAAACAAATAACTTTTAAATAGATTGATTTGGTTAAATATTAGTAATGATATGATTTAATTTTAATCCTATGATCATTGATAAGCTTTGTATAGGGGACAGTACTGTTCTAAATCTATACTAATATTATAAAGAGGTAAAGTTTTTCATATTGAGAGTTTGTGACGTTGTAGGGGGCAATCTCTGGATCTGAGCCGATTTAGATGAAATTTGATAAGAAGATGCTTTGAGATCCTGGGAAGGATATAGGATACTTTTTATCCCGGAAATCATCCCTTAATGGGGTGAAAATAGGGATGAAAACTTACCCAAAATACAAGCGAAGCGAGGGTGAGTCGCTAATTCGTCATAATTTCAGTAACCATAAAAGTTTAATGACAATAAAAGAATTAAAAAATTAAATTAATTTATTTATATATTATTCTTATTTTATCTCGATTATATATTAATTGTTTATCTACATATTTAAATATAATTCATACAAATGATAGTTCAGACGATGGCATTAGCTTTCAGTCAGCATCATCATCATCAAATGATAGTTCATTGATTCCACTCTCCTCCGTTCCTTCTTTCCGTTATGGATACTTTAAACGCATGCCATTTCGCGCGCTTGGTGTGACGTCACAGTATGATATACACAGAGAAACGACTCAATTTGTAAGCTACAAAATCGCCAATCTCTCTGTTATGATATTCTCTGACGTCATATTCGGTCTGACCAATGGCGTGCGTTTCAACTACTTTGAATTTCCTACTTGTTTTTGCACTTTTTAATCATTATTTTCTTAATCAAACAGAAATTACATTAAAAATATTAATATAGGCTTAATTCAAAAACAATAAAGATTATAAAAAAAATATTACATTTATTTAAATCACACGCATATTCCCTATTGAATTTCGCTCTGTATATACGAGTATTCCTAAATAACTGGGCGACCGAGCTTCGCTGGGCGTTTTTTCGGGAAGATATAAAAATATCAGAAAAGGCACCTACATATACGTATATGTATAGATAAACTTAAAAACCAAATCTTATAAAAATACAAAATTTGATCCAAATCGTTAGAGTTTTTTCCAAGATATATGAGAATGCAAGAATTGCTCATTTAATATTATATAGATAGATAACATTATAATTCAACCCTTTTTTGACATCCCACTGCTGGGCATGGGCCTTACTTAAATGCGAGGGGATCAGGCTATTGTCCATTAAGCTGGCCAAATGCGGGTTGGCTGACTGACTCTTAAAAACAAATTAGATTCTATCAGAGTTTCCTCACGAGGTTCCTCGCATCGTAAGGCGAGTGGTAATCATGAGGAGAATGATACGCACATGGAAATATCAGAGGTGCGAGACCTGGGATTTCAACCCGCGATTGATTTCTAAGCCAACGCGCTACTACTAAGCTACCACTTATACCAATATAAATTATAATACTAAAAAACGAACCGTTGCAATTTATTTTGTGCATTTATTACTTCAACAATTTGCGAATACATTTTCCTTTCGTTATCCTCTTTTAAAGCTTCTTCAAACGCATTGCAGTAAATCTCCATTTTGAGACATGCGTGGTTTATGCTCAAACCGAACAAACCATCATAACTGATAAAGTTAATAATATATAATACACAGGCGTACAACATATATACGAAGATTATTTCGAAAATAGGTGATTCGTATCTCTTGTCAGGATGAGTGTATGGTATCATCACATCGTGAACCATGTATCTCTGAGGTTCTGATTCGAATAAATAGCTATACATAGTTGAAAATGCAGCCATTATTGGGAATGCTGATACGCAAGTAATAACCACCACTGCCCACATCTTTTCGCTATACTTCAAGCTGTTTGCTATGCTTTGATTGATAATGTTTTTGTATGTTGAACCCATGTGGTTGAAGGATGCGTAGTCTCTGTTGATCTCGTCTATTATCTCTTTGGCTGGCGTTTTCTTGTAGAACATTATTATTATCTGGAATTTGTCGTGTTATTATACACCATAAAACCACTTAAAATGTATACTATCTTTTAGTGTAATGTTCTATCTTTTATCTTCTATATAAATAAATATTAAATTTTGTTCGATAAGCATCACTTGAGAAGGCTAGGCCGGTTTTCGAAAAAAAATATATAAAAAGGTTCCGGGAAAACTAGGAAATTCGGGAAAACTAGAAATAAGTGCTTTTTTCCTATAAGATTTTTATATGAACTCGAAAAATATAAACTAATTCATTAAAATAGTACTGCCCAAAGATCTCTCCACGACTTGGAGTCAGATATATGTAAATATATATCGCAACACTATGAACATGACATACCTTAAAGAATCCTCCAAGAAATGGACCAACAATGGTGGTGTGCCTTATAACATTGACTACGTCGTGTCTTAACCAGCTATTGTACATATCGTGTAAAACTAGCAGAGATATTGGCCCAGCACTTAACATCAACAATACTGAAATCACAACCGGACTTCTTATTATAAATGCGAAAGTTGTTTGTGTGGATGTGTGTTCCTTCACTTTGAAATAGCTGTACGGATTTGGATGAAATTTAGTACATAGATAGTCTATAGACCTGGAGCAGCACAAATACTACTGTGACGCACCCCAGCGAAGCTAGGGTAAGTGCTAGTAATACAATGAATTGTATTCAGCCCTTTTTAACGTCCCACTGCTGGGCACGGGCCTCCCTTCAATACGAGGGGGATCAGGCCATAGTCCACCACGCTGGCCAAGTGCGGGTTGGCGGACTTCACATGTCTTTCGAAAACTTGCTAAGTTCTCTCAGACATGCAGGTTTCCTCACGATGTTTTCCTTCACTGTAAGGCAAGTGGTAATCATGGTAGAAATGATTCGCACATGAAAATATCAGAGGTGCGAGACCCGGGATTTGAACCCACTTCACTCGGTTTCCCAAGCGAGAGCGTTACCACTGGGCTACCACTGCCGTTTTTTAATACAATGAATAGGAAGTTTTTATATCAATTCTTGTAGATATACGGATTAATGTCTTAGTGTGTTTATATTGTCGATAGGTTTATCGGGATATCTGCTTAAATGAAACAACTTACATGAGCAAATGATTCGTCTCTTCTCGGTCTTCGGGTTCGGGTAAAGCATACCGACGCCCATTGAGAAAGTTATTATTTTGTACGTCTCTATGAACGTTTTGTAGACTTTGTCTAAATTAAAAAAAAAAAAAAAAAAAAAAAAAAAAAAAAAAAAAAAAAAATCTTAGTTACAATATGAACTCTATACGCGTTTGTGTTATAAAAGTTATTTTTATAATAAATGATTTTTTTTTATAAAATAACACTTTAATTTTGGCTATTTTTATTTATAAAGGTAGCAATAGTGTTGCTTAGTATTTTAACTTTAAATAATAACAATCTAAATTAATATTTTAATTTTTTTAATTACATATAAAACAATAATATTGCTTATATATACCTATAATTAATATTTTTAATTTTTAATCTTCTTTGTGGTCATACGTAGTATAATAATAACAACACTAGAAATAAGATTATTAATTAATAAATTAAAAAACAATGTAATATGTATAATAATAACACCTAAAATTAAGTAAATAATATTGCCATATTTAATAATATAATACTTATTAAAAAAAAAATTAAATATGTATAATTAATATCAACAAATATTGTAAGGTACTTTGGTGCAATTTTTGAATATTTGAAATCATTCTTGTAAAATATTGGGTAGGCACTGTCTGTAACAAGTATATGTGTTTGAGACGTCTATAACCTCAGTCTTGAATTGAACCTCAGTCTCTCCCGTGACAATGATTGCTGTAAAGCATTCGAAACGTCGGAAACCAAAAATCAAAATAAATCTGCAAAATAACCCGAAAAGATAGTTTTATTTAAAATCTCAAATATTCGCGTAAATCTAAGAAAGTATTTATAAATTTAAAATTATAATTACCCTCATTTGCGATATCCATGTTGCTAGAATAACGCTATGTTCGACATTAAAACGAGGTAATTTGTCACCCTTATATAGCTTCTCAATAAATATACAGGCTGATATAAATTATGCAAGAAAAGTTCTTTAATAATTGTTTATATTGAAATATTTTCAAGCAAAATTAGCAGTTTAGATTCTTGTTTAAAACTGTTAAAAGAATATATTTTTTGGATCGAAATTATATGAGTTTAATTTGGGCCTATCTGTCTTGAAGGTGGGTCCACTACTCACTGATATGTAACACTAACGACTCACTCTCGCTCCGCTCGGGTTCGTTCGTCCCAAGTTACGTTTTAACGTTTAGTATAGATTTCTCAGAGATGAGATATTTTTTCGCAGTAAAAAGTATCCTATATGTCAACATATATTCGGTCTCTGTATCGATAATAATGCTTATTTCAATAAGATTTTCCAAAAAATATTTAATGTACAGATTCGACTCAGTTACGATTTTATTATTATAAACTAGCGACTCAACCTTACTCCGCTCGGGTTTGTCCCTAGTTACGTTTTAACATTTAGTATAGATTTTTCAGAGATGAGATATTTTCCCACAGTAAAAAGTATCCTATATGTTGACCCGGATAACCAGTTATCGTCATACTAAATTTCATCAAAATCCCTCCAGTGTTTTTTCCGTGATGCGGTCACAGACAGACAGACAAAAATTCAAAAAAATATAGATTCGGCCTCTGTATCGATAATAATGTTTATTTCAATTAGATTTTCCAAAAAATATTTAATGTACAGATTCGGCTTAGTTACAATTTTATTATATGTATAGATTATGTTACTCATGATTAAAATAAAACAGCAACTGTTGAGTTTTTCTTGGGCTCTTCTCAGCAGAACTGCTTTCCGAGTCGGTGGTAGCTTCCTCACGGACAGACGTACCGACGATGGTAAAAGAATTAGGTTCATGTTCCAAAAGTACTGAATATAAGAATATATGCAAGGAATATCTGTAAGTTTCATTAGTATCCTCCAACAATATGTATATATAATTCAATAGAACTTACAATTATGTGATCTATATAATTTTTTTCCTGTCTTTAATTTAATTTTAAAATGGACAATTTTAATACAAACTTTACAAGCTTTTTCTTGCGGGTTTGCGTGTATTTAACAGTTTTTTTTTAATTGGAACGATAAAACTTAGTTTTGTTATCAGTTATTGAGTTTATTTTTTGTTGTTTCGAATAATCCTCTCGAATGTCGTCTCACCGGAGTTTGAGATTTTCTGTGTTTGCGCGAATTCTTGTGCTTACACCACACCCATAATGTGCGTGATTTGTTCTTAACGAAAACGTCGCCGTATGGACTTCATTGTCAAAACATATTTCCTGACTGACTGATTAATTATTATAATCATTCATGTCTATCGTAACTCGACTCGTCGACTGTCACACTAACCGCTGGATCGACCAGGCACTTAGGATTTTGTTTACACTAGGAAATCACAGGAACCGTACACTTTTCCGGGATAAAAAGTAACATATGTGATATTCCAGACTATAATCTAACTCTGTGCCGAATTTCATCCAGATCCCTTCAGCCGTTCTGGTATGAAAGAGTAACAAACATCCATCCTCATAAACTTTCACATTTAATATTAGTATAGATTACCGGTGCAAATGCCCATACCTCTCTCCTTGTCTAAGAAATATTTTATTGATGAAATTTTGTTTAGATTTAATTTTGTTATTTGAAAAAGAATTTAATTTTTGTGTTAAATACATGAAATCCCCTCGTTCTCAGGTATGTAACGCAGCGTTGGAAGTGTACGTGCGTCGCGCGTACACGTCGTACGATATCACATGCTTGCAACACCTTGCTTTGTCCGGAGAGTTGGGGGTCGTTCATTTCCAGTTCGTCCTGCCTACTGGACATCCTAACAGGTATTTTTTATATAGATATATTTAGTGTAGTCTAAATTATTGAAAATTAAGCCGTTTTTTTAGTATTCAAATATCATTGTAGAAACAGTGATATGTTTAAGATTCATTTTCATTCTTGGAAATAATAAAAACGTAGTCTCATTGTTATATAAAAAAATGAAATATATTGTTAGTACTATACTAGTATGTCTTTATGTTACTCCAGATCGAAGTCTGTCTGTGTATTAAATTTCATTTAAATCCATTTAGTCATTTTAGCGTAAAAGACTAACAGATATACACACACATATAATTTTTTGTTTTTATATGTATGTATGTACATGTATGCCACTACCTGTTCGATAAAACCTGTACTGTAAAAAGAGTGCAGTACAATGCCGTGTGAAACCACTTGTATACATGGTGGTTGTATAATTGATTTATTGTTTTATAAATGAACATAAATCATAACAATTTACGAAACTATAAATATTCTGCTTTGACGCTTTAATACCTCCACGACCGCGGACACGCCGGCGTGTCAGTTAACAATAGATTTCTTAGAAATTGAATTAATTTCTTAGAAATTAACCTGGAGATGTAAAACCAGACAGGCGTGCTGTGCTGTCTATATATAAAAAATCGATTAAAAATAATTATTTATTATATCCTGTATAGACGATTGAATTATTTATATGCTATACAAGAAATGTCATAAATAATATATGTGAGATTTGCAAGGTTGTAAGTGTGTGTGTCTGTAAATTATATATTTAGAGTTACGTATGTTATGATTCTAAAAATGCAATGGAAGTAAGGAACATTAAAAGAAAAGAAGGATGATTCTCAAAATGGCGGCACGATTATACTCGTAAGTTTTGTGTTTTGTAATTTTAATACAATAAATAGTTGGGGTGTCTGCTTTTATTTGTATTCCTGGATCCTGGATATATAGTCACTAAGCCTTCTTCTTCCTTGGCCGACCCGATCCTCGAACCCGGGACTTCTTTTATTTTTGAATTAATTTAATATTTCTTTATAGATAAAATAGTATATTAATAAAAAAATTTAACTAAAATAAATGTACCTAATCTATGATATACAGTGTGATAACATTCATGAATATTGTTACGTGTTTAAGCAGCATGGAATATTTTTTTTCATTTATTTATAGATAGAAGAATCAGTTCTCAGCATGGTGATGCGGTACGGGCTCAGACTGTGGAAACTCGGTCTTGCAGGCTGAGATCAGGCTTAAACGGAGGATTGGTAAGTTAGTGTTAACCCTTTATTACTCGCACGGGGTCCAGGCACCATTGCGCTTAAAAAAACTATTCTTTGCGTTCCGAATTTCCCCGCGCCCCCGCTAGCTTCCTAACTCGTGTCTAAGTTTGCATTTCAGTAGCGATCAAGTCAAAGACGGGACCACGAGGACTAATTTCTGTTCTCCTGAGAGGTGACCCCATGCGAGTAATTACGTAACTTTTTTGAAAGATTTTATTTATTTTTTGAGCATTATTACTTCTTTTGATATTATTATTAGACCAGTGTATAAATTTATATCACCAATATATTTTTTATTGTTTTTTTATAAAGTTTTGTTTAAGCAAAGTTATCGAAAAATTGTGTGTCATCGTGAGATTTGTATTTTTTCCTAGCATCAGTTATGAATGGAGGAGATAAGCAAATTTTGCAATGGTTAGCGGATGATGAAGAACACGTTAAAGAGTCAGATTCTGTGTTGGAGTCAGATGAGATATTTCAAAGTGATCACAATAGTACTAGCAAAATAAATGATTCTATTGCAAATACAAGCGAATCGTCAGATAATGCAGGACAAAAGCAGGAGTGGACGCCAATGATCAGTTGTGTCTTACAATATGTAGGGAGGCGTTCAAAACGATGGCCATTTTGTTTCATCTTATAAATGTCACAGTTACAAACGCACTCCATGTACATGGAACATATACAGACAATTTACGTTCTCACAACACACAAAATCTCAAACTCCGGTGAGATGACAATTCGGGGGATCAGTCGAAACAAGAAAAAATAAACTTTAACATTATCTGATAACATAACTAAATTTTATCGTTCCAATTAAAAAAAACTGTAAATTACACGCAAACCCGCAAGAAAAAGCTAGTAAAATTTATATTACAATTGTCCGTTTATGAAAATTATAAATTAATTACTAAATTAAAGACAGCATAACAGGAAAAAATATGTATCTATATAGATCACTTAATTGTAAGTTCTATTGAATTATATATACATACTAGCAGAACCCGCGGCTATGCCCGCGTTCAATCTATAAAAAAAAAACTCTTTGGCTTTAACTTATCCAGCGACTATATAATAATATATTTCATAAAAAATACTAATATCGCGATTAAAAAATGGGGGGTGGTAGGAGGGTGAAAAATACCTTACGACCTATTCTCATACCTACCAAATATACAAAAAAAATCATTAAAATCAGTCGAGACGGTTTGGAGGATTGCGACCACAAACACAGTGACACGAGATATTTATATATGTATTAGATTGTAGGATGACACTAATAAAACTTCGAAATATTCCTTGCATATATTCTTATATTCAGTACTTTTGGAACATCAACCTAATTCTTTTAACATCGTCACTACGTCTGTCCGTGAGGAAACTACCACCGACTAGGAATACTGTTCTGCTGAGAACAGCCCAAGTGAAACTCAACAGTTACTCTTTTAAATCATAAGTTATATATCTATACATATAGTAAAACTGTAGGGGTCGAATGTTTGTACATAGATAAAAAATGCTTAAAACCGAGACACGGAGATGTAAGAAGAGAAATAGAACAAATCCAAATTTTTTTCAAATTTTTTATATCTCTGTGTGTTTGTACGGGCTAATCACCGAAACTATTGGACCGATTTAAATGAAATTTTGCATGGTGGTAGATACCTTATATCAACATTTTAGATACTTTTCATCCCGTAAAATTGAAGACTTCCCGTGGAATAGTTAAAAAACTATAGTAATTTTTACAGCTTAATACACAAAAACTACTGATTGGATTTTAATGACACTTTACAATAATATAGTTCATACATCAGAATAACAAATAGGTAACTTTTTATCAAAAAAATGTACGAAACATGTACGGTTCCCGTGGGATAGATTTATATTTGTTTGTCTAGAGGCGAACCCGAGCGAAGCGAGGGTGAGCCTCTACTTTATAATAATAATAATAATAATATACAGTATTACAAGCAATTCATGACAAGTCTACAAGGTCAGTTAGACTACAAGGTGGCACCGACGCCTCTGCCCAAAAGCGCAGGAAAACGAATGAATATCCGCGTCCCTTTTATGTTTTTTAAATACATTCCTATCGGCCAAGGTCACATAAATAAATGCTTTATACATAAATCATTACAAATTAATAAAATAGATTAATTTTCATTAAAACGCTCATATATAAATATGAAACCTTACAATATGTATATTTGAATTCAACGTGTTCTGAATAAAACGGTTATCATACGCGTGAATCACTTAATCGAGTAATCATACACCAAAACGCCTTACATCATTTTGGAAAAAAGCCGATACTCTTACACAGCTGGACCGATATTAACCAAACATAGCTAAGAACCACCGTAAGGATACTGGCTTTCAAATGGAAAAAACCGCACCGAAATCGGTCCACCCGTTTGAGAGCTACGATGCCATAGACAGATACACACACACAGACACACATACACATACAACAGACATCGACGTCAAACTTATAACATCCCTCTTTTTGACATTGGGTAACCCGTTTTTGAAGTCAATCAAAATACGATAAGATTCTCTTATAAAGTATATTCATAAGATAAAACGAGCCTGAAACTAACCTATACAGTTAGCGGAATTGTCCCATACAATAATTAATTAGCGAAATTAAAAGTGATTCTTGAATTTTATATCAAAAAGACTTTATTACTTGAAAATTTCCTTAAGCTTAAACCATATTTTAACCATAATGCTTCGGGCAACGCAATAACTATATACAGAGTGTTTATATAAGTATAATTTAAATAAACAAAAATGAAATACTGTTTGTTGAGAAGCGCATCTCTTGAGAACGGCGGGGCCTATTTGGTCAATTTTCATTATAAAATGTTCATGATGGCCTTCAAGGCTTTTAGTGAAAAAAATAAAAAAGTTACTCAGAAAATAAGGTAATTCGAGGACGCTGAAAATTCTTTTTTCTATAATTTTTTTGTATGAACTCTTGAAAAGTTAAAAATGAATGTATAGAAATTTGGACAGAACAACGTTTGTTGGATCAGTTAGTTTATATATTGATTCTGTCGTTAGTAGAGCTATTCAGTAATTAATCTATACATATAATAAAATCCGAACTGATTCGAATCTACACATTAAATATTTTTTGGAAAATCTTATTGAAATAATCATTATTATCGATACAGAGGTCGAGTTTATAAATTTTAGAATTTTTTTCTGTTTGTCTGGGAACGCATCATGAGGAAACCACTGGACAGATTTTGATAAAATTTGGTGTGATAATAGCTGGTGATCTGAGTCAATATATAGGATACTTTTTACTGCGAGAAAATATCTCATCTCCGAGAAATCTACACTAAACGTTAAAATTTAGTATAAGTACATATATATTATATTTTATTATCTATACTAATATTATAAAGAGGTAAAGTTTGTAAGTTATTGATTTTGTGAGTTTGTGTCGTTGTAGGAGGGTAATCTCTGGATCTATTGAACAGATGTAGATGAAATTTGGTAAGAAATAGTTTGAGACCATAGGTAGGATATAGGATACTTTTTATCCCGGAAACCATCCCTTGAGAGGGTGAAAATGGGGATGAAAGTTTGTATTGGGAAGCAAGCTAGGGACGAACCCAAGCGAAGCGAGCATGAGTCGCTAGTATAAACATATTAGTGAGTAGTGAACCCACCTTTAAGATACACAGGCCCAAATTAGACTTATATACTTATCTCTGTCCAAAAATATTATTTAAACAGTTTTAAACAAGAATCTAATTGCTAATTTTGCTTGAAATTTTTTAATATAATTTTAAAACAACCTTTCTTGCATAATTTATATCAGCCTGTATCTTTGTTGAGAAGCTATATAAGGGTGACAAATTACCTGATTTTAATGTCAAACATAGCGTTTCTCTAGCAACATGGATATCTCCGACGATGGTAATTATAATCGCATTATAATTTTTTTATTTGTTTGAGAACTATGTACGACATAATATCTCTAATAGGTAACAAATAAATGTAATCATTTAAAAAAAACAGCCGAATTGAGAACTTCCTCCTTTTTGAGGAAGTCGGTTGAAAAAAATCTAATAGGAGATCCCGATCGATGTGGTGGACCCCTCACTCTTTTTCCATGCGAATCAAATAAAAAAAAAAACATCAACAAACACGACCCACGGGGGTTTGTCACCAAAAACTTGTTCCAGACTTATTTTAAATAAAAATGTATTTAATTAATTTTTTAAAGTACAATAATTCTTTTCTTGTCTCAACTTAGTATTTTGATTTTTATTGATTTTTATTGAATGATCAAAAGTAAAAGACTTGTAGAAAATTTCATCAAACGGTTGGTGGCCTTTTTCGAACACATTACCTGACATCCAGGTATGAACAGGTTAATTGAAATAGTTAATTGTTCGATCAGATCGTGTATTCCCGAAGCAACTATAGCAAGTATCAAAATATAGAGAATTTTATAAAAAGTATGATGATGTAAGGTTGTTATACCAAAAAGTTTCCAGAATAAAGGTGCTTTAATTAAAAGAAGACAACTAAATGAAGACATTACGTACAATCAAACTTCATTTTTATTTATTTGTATAGAAATATTAACAAATTACAATAATTCATTTCAATAGCCTGGAGTCGATCATTCACAGGTTATTGTAATAAAAAAAGGTTGTTATAATAAAAAAAAACATTTATTATAAAAATAACCTATATGACACAAACGCGTATAGAGTTCCTATTGTAACTAAGATTTTTTTTGATATTTAGACAAAGTCTACAAAACATTCATAGAGACGTACAAAATAATAACTTTCTCAATGGGCGTCGGTATGCTTTACCCGAACCCGAAGACCGAGAAGAGACGAATCATTTGCACATGTAAGTTGTTTTATCTAAGCAGGTATCCCGATAAACCTATTCACAATATAAATACACTAAGACATTAATCCGTATATCTACAAGAATTGATATAGAAATTTCCTATTTATTGTATTACTAGTGACTCACCCGCGCTTCGCTCGTGTTCGTCCCTAGGTTCATTCCCCATACAAACTTTCATCCCCATTTTCACCCCCTTAAGGGATGATTATCGGGATAAAATGTATTCTATATCCTGCCCAGGGTTTCAAACTATCTTTTTGTCAAATTTCATCTAAATCGGTTCAGTAGATCCAGAAATTACCCCCTACAACGTCACAAACTCACAATTCACAAACTTTAAATCTTTATAATATACTAGCGACTCACCCTCGCTTCGCTCGGGTTCGTCCCTAACTTGATTTCTCATACTAAATTTCATCCAAATCCATCCAGCTATTTCAAAGTGAAGGAATAAAACACATCCACGCATACAAACTTTCGCATTTATAATAAAGAAGTCCGGTTGTGATTTCAGTATTGATGATGTTAAGTGCTGGGCCTTTGTGTGTGCTAGTGTTACACGACATGTACAATAGCTGGTTAAGACACGACGTAGTCAATGTCATAAGGCACACCACTATTGTTGGTCCATTTCTTTTAGGATTCTTTAAGGTATGTCTTGTAAATAGTGTTGGGATATATATGTATTTATACCTAAATGACTGATGACTGAAGTTGTGGAAATCTTTGGAGTGCGTCCAGTAGTGGACGCGTTTCGGCTGAGACAATGAACAAACTCGACAGACAGTTCCATTTAAATTTCATGCAATTTTTTTTTTGAGTTCATATAAAAATCTTATAGAAAAAAACCCACTTATTTCTAGTTTTTCGAATTTCCTAGTTCTCCGGGAAACTTTTTATAATTTTTAGAACTAAATACCGGCCTAGCCATCTCAAGTGATGCGCTTATCGAATTCCTGTTTTTATTATTATATTTATATATACAAGTTAAAAGATAGAACATTACACTAAAAGATTACATTTTAAGTGTTTTTATGGTGTCTAATAACACGAAAAATTCCAGATAATAATAATGTTCTACAAGAAAACGCCAGCCAAAGAGATAATAGACGAGATCAACAGAGACTACGCATCCTACAACCACATGAGTTCAACATACAAAAACATTATCAATCGGAGCATAGCAAACAGCTTGAAGTATAGCGAAAAGATGTGGGCAGTGGTGGTTATTACTTGCGTATCAGCATTCCCAATAATGGCTGCATTTTCAACTACGTATAGCTATCTAGTCGAATCAGAACCTCAGAGATACATGGTTCACGAGGTGATGATACCATACACACATCCTGACAAGAGATACGATTCGCCTAGTTTTGAAATAATCTTTGTATATATGTTGTACGCCTGTGTAATATATATTATTAACTTTATCGGTTATGACGGTTTGTTCAGTTTGAGCATAAACCATGCATGTCTCAAAATGGAGATTTACTGCAATGCGTTTGAAGAAGCTTTAAAAGAGGATAACGAGAGGAAAATGTATCTGCAAATTGTTGAAGTAATTAATGCACAAAATAAATTGAAACGGTTCGTTTTCTAATATTATAATTTATATTGGATAAGTGTGTAACATATCTCAGGAAAATCATGTTTCAAAACTTATGTATTTTAACTAGATTTAATTACAATTTATTTGGAAACATTTATTCTCAACATTTACTTATTTCCTTTCTCCAGTTAAAAATCACGGATCGCATCCACCTATGTCAACTCTCCAACCACCAATCGCCTTTTGTTTTCTATTTTAAAATCTATTTCTTTTTTTTTGGCCTGCCGATTTCGTAATTTTTAACAGCCAGATTTAGCAAGGTATCTGTAATTTGTGCATTCGCGTCATCAGTATAGCCAGTATAATCAATTAATGACTGTCTTATTATAAATTAAAATAGCGAAACTTTACAAGTGGTAGTTCAGTAGTAGAAATCAATCGCGGGTTCAAATCGCCGGTTTTCGCACCTCTGCTATTTCCATGTGCGTATCATTCTCCTCATGATTACCACTCACCTTACGATGCGAGGAACCTTGTGAGGAAACTTCTCTGACAGAATCTAATTTGTTTTTGAGAGTCAGTCAGCCAACACGCGTTTGGCCAGCATGGTGGACAATAGTCTGATCCCCTCGCATTTAAGGGAGGCCCATGCCCAGCATGGAACTCCCTTAAACGTGGGACGTTAAAAAGATATGAGTTATTATATTAACTTTAATATTAGATGAGCAATCTTGCATTCTCATATATCTTGGAAACAGCTCTAACGATTTGAATATAATTGTGTATTTAGATAAGGTTTTGCTTTTTAAGTGTCTTTTCTGATATTTTTATATGTTTTAGAAAAAGCATCGAGCTAAGCTCAGTCGCCTAAGTGTTTAAGTATAATATACAAAGCGAGTTGCAATTATTTATATCTTTAACTTCATTTATTGTCTTTAAACTAAATTGTAAATTCGTCATAATTTCAGTAAACTTTATGGTTACTGAATTTTGAAGAGTACTGACCCCCATACAAAGCTTATCAATGATCCCTACGTTTCGAATGCTTTACAGCAATCATAGTCACGGGAGAGACTGAGGTGTTAGATGTCTCGAAGGTATTATATGAATTCAAAAAATTGAAAAATGGCACCAAAGTACCTTACAATATTTTTTAATTTTAATTTTAAATAAATCTAAGAAATATTATCAAATCGATCTATTTATAAGTAATTTCTTTATTCTAGGTTTGTCGATCTCATACAAGACACATTCAACATTTGGCTTGGCTTAATATTTATAGCCACCATGATACAAATAGGCACGTTAATGTATTTAATTTCTGAGGTAAGTATAAAAATTTAACGACACGTTTGGTTCAGTTTGTAGTGACTCGACTTCCTGTGCCAGCGGTCGCGGATTCGAGTCCTACAGGGGGCATTTAATGGGATCTGTAATGAGCACGAACGTACTCCAGTCATGAGTGTTTATATTTGTAATATGTATGTATTTAAAGTAATATATGTGTAGTGTATCAACTATCTGGTATCCATAACACAAGCCTCGTAGCTTACCATGGAACTAGATGGCGCTGTGTGTTAATATAAAGTACCTGGGCGACCGAGCTTTGCTCGGAGTTTTTGGCCAAAAAACATTTAAAAAAAACAAACTAAGAATTTGAATAAATACAAAAAAAACAAAATTAAAAACTCTGTGTCCGACCTGGATACGAACCCGGACACCTGTGGTTGTCAAATTTGCGCATTGGTCGCTTGACCATGATGCTTATATCTGAGCGTGCGAAATTATCGAACATAATATTTTGCGTGGAATTATTAATTATTAATTTATTGAAATAATGCAAAAGAAATCATAATAATAATAAAGCTTTATTTATTTATTTATTTATTATAAAGGCTTACTTACTAAATTTACATAAAAACATTTATTTAACATTATAATTTTACCGATCTGTATATACATTTAATTTAAAAGTATGCACACCTTTTTATAAAAGTATTCCATTAAAATTTTATGTGGTTAAGAGTATATGAGGAGCCATTTTAGTCTTACAATAAACAAAAGAAGAAAAAAAACTAATCTAAATATTTAAATACACTTTCTATTTAAATAAATTTAAACTATCAGAAAAAATGTCTATATCACATTGCTGAAATGTAAAATTATATAATTTAGTGACTATTTATTAACTCATAAATTTTTAAATAATAATTTTGTAATCTGGAATTAAATTATTTTAAAAATCTTTAATATTATTTGAAATGATATTCTATATATATAAATTATTATTAACAAATAAATAAATAAACAATCACAATAAATTAAATAATTCAATTGAGTAAATACTAAACATTTCACAATAATAAATATAAATAAAATTTCTGTCCATACATTAATTCTGACAATAGTTTTAAATTTGTTATTTAATTTCATAATTAAATGTATTTATTTAGTAAATGTCTTTTTCATGTATAGACCCCTCTCGGTTAAAAGCCTCCTCCAAAGTAGTCCTGCATAGAGCTCTCCGTTGGAGATTATGCTTGTATGATTGCAAAGGGTTTCTTTTCAAATTTTGTTTCCAATATATAATTTGTTTCTGATATGCCTATAAAGTTTATAATTTTATCTTTGTGTTCTTTTGATTTGTTGTAGGAAATGCTGCTTTTAATTCTAGAAGTTTTTCTTGTGAAGATATGTATTACCTTTGTTCATTGTATGTCTGTTTTTCTTTGGAGGGTTACGGTCGAACTCCCCCACAGTGACCGGCTGTACTGAGGGATAAAGATGAGGAAGTTCCTACTGTGTTTAATATACTGTATCTTGCTGTGTTGTTTTTAGTTGTTCCTGGTTATCATTTGTGTGGTTGAAAGTTAATTTTGGTTTTTGTAATATAAAGTCTTTAATATTAGCAGGTTTGGTATTCTTTATATGTTGTTTATTTGTTATTTTTTGTTTATAATTGAGGTAAGGCGTTTCTGGAGATACAGGCAGACTTCTTTTATTTGAGTATTGGCGAGAAGTGTTCTTATTATTAACCACAATAATTAGTTTGTCATATTTAAAGAAAGCTATTTTGCCTAGGTCTTTTTCTTTATCTTCAGTTGGGCTTGTAACTCGTTGCGTTTGTTTAAGACTATTTTTTCCTCTAGTTCATGATAGGATTTTTCACCTACTTCTACTCCGAACATAACCAAGTTCTTGCGCGTAATATTTATTTCTAAATTATTTATTGAGGTACTTTGTTGCTGGAGTTTTTCTCAAGAACTTCAATTTTATTTCTAAGTGTTTAAATCTCTCATTTAAGTATATTATTGTTGATTGTATTTTTAATGTCTTCTTTCATTTCTAACATTTCTGTTTCCTGCTGTTTTATTTATTTCTTGTTGCATGTTTATTAACAACTTTTTTATGTCCTCAATCTTAGTGTGAAGTTGGAAGTAGAAAAGCTGATTGAAAAAGAGCACCAATTATATATATACCTAGTTGAATATCAATTTTATACCGAGTATTAGTCTTTGAGGTTATAAGCTTATGTTTTAATATTTTACGCTTTCACTTCACAAATTATTTTGTTTTATTGTCATCACACACAGAAAAGATGGTTTTGCACTGATAGTATCTATAAGTTATGTTTGTCACTTTTGTATTTGTTTGGTAGGTGAATTTTTAAAAGCTCATTTGTTCTTCAACACATCAAGACTTGGTGATGTTTACATATTGCCCATAGGTTTTATCGATTAATATAATTTACCATTTTTCTTTAGATTTTTTCTACTTAAATATTTTTTAACTTGATGTAAATACGGACACGATGTTGACAGTTGCACAGTGGCGCCTCCCACCCACCAGAAGTGACAACTGACAATGCAAAAATTGTGAAAATGCAAAAGAAAATCGCATGAAAATTCGAAAACTCGCGTTTTCCCAGATATAAGACTAATCTAGATCGATTTATCGCCCCCGAAACCCCTTGTATGCTAAATTTCATGAAAATCGTTGGAGCCGTTTCCGAGATTCAGATTATATATTGAGATATATATATATATATATACAAGAATAGCTCGTTTAAATATATAAGATTTATTTATTGATGATGAAAAAAGTAATTGTCATGTAAATTCTGCCATCTTATTTTACCAAATATTCGTTTTTTTTCTAAGTGGTTTGTATAGATACTATGTTATCCATGTTATCTTAGGAATATGATGTCCACAGATTATAATAAAAGATACTCATATTTTTTCAGGGATACGGTTTGGATCCACGATATATTATCTTCATGGTAGGCATTGTGACACATATCTACTTGCCTTGCCAATATTGCGCCAAATTGAAACATATGGTTCGTATATATAACGTATATATAACGTACTTTCTTAAATTTACGCGAATATTTGACATCTATACTAATATTATAAAGAGGTAAAGTTTGTGAGTTTGTGAAGTTGTAGGGGGTAATCTCTGGATCTACTGAACCGATTTAGATGAAATTTGGTAAGAAGATAGTTTGACACCCTGGGAAGGACATAGGATTTTTATCCCGGAAATCATAACTTAAGGGGGTGAAAATGGAGATGACAGTTTGTATATTTGTATGTATGTATGTATATATGTATGTACGTACGTTTGTATGTATATGTGTATTATGTTTATCTATTTATATTGTATGTATAATTATATCGTATAGCAAGTACACCGCCTACCATTTCTCTCACACTCTCCTTTACCTGGTAGTTGGTTGCCTGGAAGAGATCGCTTTAAGCGATAAGGCCGCCTACTGTGCATCTTTGTTAATTTATAATTACTGTCTGTATGTATTTTCTTTGGTGTACAATAAAGAGTATTATTATTATTATTATTGAGAATCAAGCTAGGGACGAACCCGAGCGAAGCAAATCGAGTTGCTAGTGTAAATATTAAAATTATGGTAGAAAAAGTCATTTAAATTTATTCAGATGTTAAGTTTAGAAATGCTACCCTCGTGTCTTCTCCTTTCTACGTGATATTGGCGAAGCAATCTCTGCTCAACTGGCACGCTTTGAAGCTGGTAATAAGAGAATTGAATTGAAGTTTAGGAATATGCCCCATGTGGAAATGTCAATATATACAAGTGAGGAGTCAAAATGATTGAAAGTAAATTTCGGAATTTAAAGTTAGTACTGTGAATCTCATCGTTAGTGCTCAGTTCTGTACTGAATTCTGTCCACAACGAATAAGTTTCCAAAGTAGCAATTAAATATAGGAAATAATAACAACTAAAATTTTGGCGGTTTTATTTTACGATACGATATAAAATGTATTATGTCCCATATTTGAATGAGAAATAATCGTTTGAGAAATTTTCATTATAAATAAAACTATCTTTTCGGATTTTGTCGCGGATTTATTTGTATTTTTGTTTCCCGACGTTTCGAATGCTTTACAGCAATCATGGTCACGGGAGAGACTGAGGTGTTACATGTCTCTAAGGTATTATATAGTTGTTACAGACAGCCTACCCACAATTAACAAAATGAATTCAAAAAATTGAAAAATTGCACTAAAGTACCTTACAATATTTTAACTTTTAACTTTAAACATTTTTATATAATTTTAATTAGTTTTATAATTGAATATAGAATATTATTTATTTAATTTGAGCTGTTATTATTATAATTATTACAATTTAAAAAAATATTAATTATTAATCTACATTTTTAGTGTTCCCATTATTATATTTATAACCATAAAGAAAAAATCATAATATATTAATTATTTAAGCCACAATTGATCTATGTGTAATTTGAAAAAGTTAAGATTAATTAAAAATAATAATTTAAATTTAAATTTGCTATTATTTAAAAAACAAATTATTAAGCAACACATTACTACATACATTTACAAATGAAAAAGTGAAAAAATATTATTAATCAGAAATGCTATCATTTTGATCTACACAGTAAGAACTTACTACATCTACCTGTCTGTTATGTTTAGATTTATTATTAGATTTTATTATATTAATAACAGGATCCCATGACGATGGTAGTTTCGAAACGTCGGGAAACAAAAATACAAATAAATCCGCGACCAAATCCGAAAAGATAGTTTTATTTAAAATGTCAAATATTCGCGTAAATCTAAGAAAGTATTAAATTTTCATTAATAAAAAAACACAAAGTTTCTCCCTTCGTGCATTATCTGTAATTTTCAGTCTTTGGAAACAGCAACACTCATATATAGTGCTGGATGGGAACGCGTGTCTTCGATATCTATACGCAAAATGATCGTATTTATGATTGCCAGAGCACAGGTAAATCCATCTATACTTAATATTATAAATAATATTATATTATATATAATATAATATTAGTATGGATAATGGATATCATATACTAGATTTTTTAAGTTACAATATATATATATATATATTATTTTTTACATATAGATACCTATTACAATAACAGCATTCAATTTGATGGTATTTGATATGGACCTATTTGTTTCGGTAAGTGAATTTTTATTAAATTTGAACTTCGACCATTATTAAGAAAGTTATGAGCAAACATCCAAAATAGAGCGGTTTTGAACCAGTGATCAAAAAAATCGCAAAATTTACCATTAAGCCTCTTTTGAGGAGTACTAAAAATACCAAAATATTAAGAAAATCAAAAATAAAATTTTTTGGAACCGTACGTACGATTTGGCGTGGAATGCCCCGTATATTTTAATATTTCAGATTTTTACTAAAATCTATTTAAATATTTATTTTATTTAAAAAAACAGTCTAAATCGGGTAAAGTAATTATATTAAGGTCGTATAATTTATTTACATGTTTATCTATGGGTAAAGATAAATAAAATTGTATTAGCGTCTGTTTGTAATAATAAAATAACAGCTTTCTAATAAATGTGTATGAAAGTATTACTTATAAGAAAGAAACAATTATTAAGTTTTGTCTGTCTGTTTGTTTCGGTTAATCTCTGAAATTGGACTGACTTTGACGGGACTTTCACTGGCAGATATCCGATGTTATAAAGAGTAACTGAGGCTACTTTTATTTTGGAAAAAGAATTAGGGTTTCGCGCAAAAAAATTAAAACCCACGAAATTATGAACAATACAATATAACATTTTTTTTTTCAGATTATGAACTCTTCTTACTCTATGTACACTTTACTACGGTCGTAAGAGGGAAAGAGATGCAAGAGAAATTTTACGTTCAACCAAGCACACATCATAATCTATACACATAAAAAAAAGTATTTATTCCATTTCCAGCCGTCTTTTCGTTGGCATTTAATACGAATATTCAAAAGGACGTTTTTTTTTAAATTATTTGTTCAACTGAAATAATTTTAGTAAGTAAATAAGTAAAAATATAATTTTTAATAACAATACTATAACGTGTAAGATTTCTTTTTCTCAAACCATATTATAAAAGTACGAATTTGTGTAGGACGTAGAGTGATTAAGAAATCTTCTTGATCTTGCTCTGATTGTTCAAAATGCTCAGGATGCTCAGAATGCTCAGAATTTTCAGGATGCTCAGCAATTGCTCTGAAATATGTAAATTTCAATATTTTTCTATTATATTGTCTACACTTATATAAACTAATTATATAAAGGCGAAAGTTTGTGAGAATGTATGAATGTTAGTACCACTCTTTTACGTAAAAACTACAGAATGGATTTTAATGAAACTTAACAATTATATAGCTCATACATCAGAATAACACATAGGCTGCCTTTTATCCTGGAAAAATGTACTGTTCCCGTGGGATAGATTTGTTTTCATTTTTCTATTACTTTTTACTATATTATAAAAAGGTAAATTTTCTAAGTTAGTATGTATGTAGATGGTAATGTGTGAATATGGTAACACTATGTAATAGCTTAGAATTAATCTATACATTAAATATTCTTTGGAAAATCTTATTGAAATAAACATTATTATCGATACAGAGGCCGAATCTATAGTTTTTGGAATTTTTGTCTATCTGTCTGTCTGTTACCGCATCACAGAAAAACCACTAGAGGGATTTTGATAAAATTAGGTATGGTGATAGCTGGTTATCCGGGTCAACATATAGAATACTTTTTATATACAAAAACTGCAATGTAAGAGTATACTAATATGTAAAACCTAAGATTTTGTTTTTTGGTCATCTGAACGCGGGCGGAGGCACGGGCAATGCTAGTGAGCAATATAAATTTATTTGAATTAGGTGTATGCAATTATATTTTAGGTCGTCCTGAATCAAAGGAAGCTAGAGTATTATTTAAGATTTATAAAATAGCTGTAAAGCGTCGGTGAGTTTTTTGTTTGCTTTGTTGCTCCAATGAGAGTGGCATGTTCAATTTATGAACACACTCACACAAAACCACAAAAAACGTAGGCTACCACTGCCAAGTCTTATAGAAGATTATAGGTATATTTATTTGCCCATTGTTACAAAAAAAGGAAAAGGATTGTTAGTTATTAACTTTTTTCCTCAGCATGGGAATCTGTAAGTCAGGAATAGACAAAGAAAGTCAATGGAATTATTATATTTAACTTTTCTTAAATATTACAATTTTCAATGGTAATATAAAAAGTAAATAAATAAATATGTTGGGACATTAACACACAGCAACGTCTAGTTCCATGGTGAGCTACGAGGCCTGTGCAATGGATACCAGATAGTTAATACACTACTCATATATGACTTTAAATATATATGTACATATTATAAATATAAACACCTATGACTGGAGTACAAACATTCGTGTTCATCACACAAATGAATGCCAGCGGGACTCGAACCCGCGACCTCTGGCACAGCCAGTAGGGTCACTACAAATTCAACCAAACGTGTCGTCAAAAATTAAACATCAATTATTACTGTATTTTTTACATAAAAAATCACTGAACTTCTATAAACACCACCATCATTACATGAGTAACTCTCTTGTAAAGTTTCAAGCCTTTAAAACTTAGTGGTTTAGACTGTACCTTGTCTGTCAGTGAACCTACAAATGAATAAATATAAATAAATATGTTGGGACATTAACACACAGCACCATCTAGTTCCATGGTAAGCAACGAGGCCTGTCTTATGGATACCAGATAGTTGATACACTACACATATATAACTTTAAATACATACATATTATAAATATAAACACCCATGACTGGAGTACAAATATTCGTGCTCATCACACAAAATGAATGCCTCCAGCGGGACTCGAGCGAAACGTGTCGTTAAATGAATTTAAAATTTAAAAACAATGTAATGTAAAATATTTACCGTTTTTTCCTTTCAATAAATTGATCTTCTTCGTTATCTACTTCTTCTTCTGGAGAACTCATTTCTTCTTCTTGAGATGCATCAGCATCTTCTATACGCCTCTTTCGAGATTTCGATTCTGGTTTTGTTAAATTTTGTAAAAGATATTTTTATCCATAATTTTTAATTTCCTATTTAATTTAGCGACTTAAATTCCACAGAACTACGTCACAGGTTCGATTTCCATTCAAATAACATAAGTTACACAAGCCACATACTTTAGATCTAATAATTGAATAATAAAACCAGTTGTTAAAATAAATTAAGATAATTATACTAAATAAGAATTAAATGGATAGCTTTTGCTTTAATGTAGATTATTCTTATTGCTCTAAATAATAAAACACTTTATTTAAAAAAGATCTTAGTTTACCTTCTCTTGGATAAACTCTTCCTCTGTATTCTTGTTCTCTATATTTCTCTCTTTTTCTCCCTTTCTTATTTTCTCCGTCATGATTTTCAGTAATAAACGGCATTCCAACAGCGGGATCTTTCCTTCTTTTACTTCTAGAAGTATTTTCGCCAGAATAATCTTTCTTTAATCTTCTGCTTTTTCGTAATTTTTGGGTGTTTTTATTATCAACTCTAAATTTCCTGTTTGTTCTACGTGTATGTTCTTCAGAATTAACTTTTCTAAATGTTCTAGAAGAAATACCCTCATCAGAATTTGTTTGATCCCTATAAGTTTTATTTTTCCTTCTAGAAGTAATGCCATTATTTCTTTTTCTATTATTTATTCTAGATTGTTCCTTATATTCTTCTGAACTTCGTAAATATGATTTAAAAGATTTCTCTCTTGACTTAACTTTGTAATACATTTCATACATAGATTTTGTTACGCCGTCGTCGAAACCATCTAAAATACGAAAATAATTAAATAATATGTATTCATCACTTAAAGACTACGTAGAATAAAAGAATATGTGAGAAATTAATACTTTCTTCTACGAGTTCGAAATATTTATTTACTGTAAAAGTAACGTTAGTGACCACGAAAGCTTTAAAGACTTACGTTAGAAAATTTATAAAATTTAAAACAAATACAAAATTTTCTCTTACCAGTCTCTTCACAGTTAAGACTTGTTCTATTTCTCCTCTTATTTCGTCTCTTCTTCAATTTCGGTGGAAAATCTTCTTGAAATAAACCTTCGTCGTCTTCTCTGCTATATCCGACAAAACCTTTTTTTGGTATTTCAAAATGTATAGCAGGCATTCTTGTAGTTTTCAGTGTGGTAAATTTTCTAGAAGTTTTGGTGATATTTTTGATAATTTCTGGTTTCACAGTAACACTTTCATTGCGTAATATAGTATTTTTATATACATTGTCTCCGTCTGTTTCATTGCCATATTTAGTATCATCTATACTATTTTCTGATATATTAGTGGATCTCTTTCGCCTGTTTTTAATACTAAATTTATTTTTTGTCCTCAATTTCTTTCTTAGCTGTCCTTGCTTAGAATTTCCTCTTGAATAATTTTCTTCATCTGAATATGGGTCTGAAAATGTAAATTATACAAATGTCGTTCGAAAAATATGTTAGATAATTTGACACGATCGGTGAGAATTAAGCATAAGTACTCTCTTAGATACAGGGGGTAAAGCCGCCGAATTTTTCAAATCTGGCTATACTATTATTGAGATTTCCTTGACGAAAGTCTTATAAGTGTAGTTTGAAACGGGATTCGAACCCAGGATATTCGGATCTGCATCAATATATGCCACAATCTAAACCATCGAACACAATAACTATATAATATTTTACTTTGTTACTAAACCTTTATAGACCTATATGACTATATTGAACTTACCATTTTCCTTATCTTCTTGCTTACTCATTTTTAACTCATCTATATAATCTGGGTTATCTTCAGGAAGAATACCATCATCACCACCATTGTACACGTATCTTTAAAAATATTGACTGAAGATTAAACTAAAAAGTAATTATAAAAACTCGGTTGCGATGTGTACCTCATTTAGTTACCTTTTTTAAGTTGTTTAAATTTACCTTAGCTTTTTTGATATTTTTTATAACTCGAAACTTTTTTATGTACCGAGTTTTTCTCCAGACGCGTGATTTAAACTTCATAAGCGCATTTTATTAATAAGTTAAAAATAGTGTCCGAATAATTACAATTAAGACTATTTTGAATAGTTTTTTTTGGGATAAGTTTTAAAATGTTAGTATCACGCATTTTCTTCTCACCGAGAACTCCAGTCCATTTGTCTGGCCTGCTGAAGCCACTGGTTGGCACCTAACGTGGTCTCCTCAACCCTCGTGATGATGAAGAGGAATATCTTCTTGAGATCCACTGTTATAAGACTTGGGTTCGGTAGATTACCGCCAAGGTTTGGTGGTCCTAAAGTAATTAAGATTTTAATAGTTATTTTATGGTTATATGCGACATATGCTATTTTATTTTGGTCCTCTTAAAATATTTATATAGTAATGAAATAATAATATTTTCTACTAAAAATATAAAAAAAAAAACACTCGCTGGCCCTTTATTTTTTCTAGAGCATTGTATTATATTTACAAACATATAGTCTTGCTAATAGTAGACTGAGAGGAAATTTAAATGGAACTTGGAACGAAATGGGTATTGCTACTTTACATCGATATTTTATATATCATTTCATTTCTATATATATATTCGTCATGCACAAGCCAAAACTAATTAGGAAATATAAGCGAAATGGTCTTAATTTGTTTTTATATATTGGAAAATTTAAAGCTCTGGTAGCTTTGTACGATGGAACAGTTATTTTGACTTACCATGACTCTTTTCAAGAGTGTTTTCTAATCTCAAAAGTACGGAACCTCCTTTCCAAGGCTCCAAAGTCAAAATATGAATGTGATGAGGAAGACCGTGAAGACGAAGACCTGTGAACTGAAATAGATATAATATATTTGGTAGAAAGGACCACTATTGTAGACGCATGACGTTCAGTAAAAATTGTAATAATGCTGAATAAAATTTTTGAATTTGAATTTTGAAAAAGTTAGTAAAATCAACATTAAAATAACAAATTAAAAAATATGATAAAATCCAGAGTATTTTAGTTATACATTAGACAATATTACTTTAAGACTAGTCATCGGTGCGGAAGTGAGGAGGTAATTAAAGACGTATGGAGAAAGATCAGGTTCAAGGGCTTCACGTTCTTTAAATTACAGTGATAAAACTCATCAACTCCCCGGTTGCTAATAGTTTGACAGAAAAACCTAATAGATTTTGGTTCACCCAGGTCTCGAACCCAAGACCGCATGATTTGCAAACATACGACAAAACTAATATACCAATGAAGCATTTACAGGAGATATGTATTATGTAAAAGAATTTAAAATCATTTACCCTTTTATTTCTAACATTTTGCCACTTTCGTCTACTAATCTTCTCTCCTTGTGTTAAGAATAACCAGGGCTCGTACACCCATCTTCTGTACATTTGAGATGCTCTTTCAAAGAACGAAAGATCGTCCACTAAAACAGTAGTAAAAATTTAGTGCAAAACTAATATAAAGTTATATAAAAAACGGTAACTTAGCGAAATCGATGTGTGCGTTTTACGCAAAACGCGTTTAATCGGTTCAACAGTTAGGATACCTTTTACTACAGGAAAATCTTCCATTCCTACGGGAAAACACAATAACTGGTTCTGTCGAGTCTTCTGTCGAACAGACGGAAACAGACGGAAACAGACGGTAAGTAAGTAAGTAAGTAGATAAATCAGTAAGTAAGTAAGTAGATAAATGAGTCGACCGATCAGTCGATCGATCGATCGTAAGTTCGCCTTAATCAAAACATTACTTTAAATAACGAAGAACTTCTTTAAAACATTTGATTAAGTATTTATTCTATATCTATAATAAAAAAAGTTATGACATTTCCAAAATTGTTGATAATATGACCAATAAACATGACCTACCGATTTAAATTATTTTTTTAATATAAAAAACTACTTTTTGTGACTTAAAATATAAAAGTTAGACATATGCTGTCGCTGACTTTTTTGTAGGCATTATTAAGCTCTACAACTTTTTTCTAGAACATAATCATATATCTCTCATGGTTAAGGCAGCTTTCGTAAGAAACGTTTTCGTTCGACCGTTTTTTCTCCGACTTACTTTACAAATCCGACTACCACGAAAAAGCCTTTTCATTCTTCGGGTAAATATATGCCTATGACACTCAGAAAAAACGTGGCTTTCTATTGGTAAAAGAATTTTGTAAATCGGTTCAGTAGATCCAGAGATTACCCCCTACAACGTCACAAACCCACAAACTCACAAACTCACAAACCCACAAACTCACAAATCACAAACTTTACCTCTTCTTTATAATATTAGTATAGATAAATTAACACATTATCAGAATTTGTTGTCAAAAAGGCACTATTTGAAAAAAAATATCGAATAAAATTTCAAACATCGAAAATTATCCTTGAGAACTAACCATCCTGTTTGTGGCTACCTACAAATATCCTGTGCTTGCCTCGCACCACCAATCCTAGACCAAACTCTTCTTCATTTAAAGCTTCCTCTAGACCAAATCCATCATCAGTTAAAAGTCTTCTGTGAACCTGTATTATTTAGACTTATAAATACAAATAAAATCAAAGTGTTTATCTGTGATTTTAAAATGTCTTGATTCTGAGTACCATAGGTTTATTTAAAAGCTATCTAAGCCCAATTTATAAAAAGTAGATATAGGTACTAATAGAGATTTCTATCCATCGTTAGTGTGAGACTAAAAGTAATAGCATGTACGACTGCAGATCCGGATATCCTTGGTTCGAGTCCCGGGTCGGGCCAAGATTAATTATTGAGTTAATATATAAATATAGGAGTTGGGAAGTTGGCGGTGTGGCACCCCCGTGCTTCGGAGAACTTTCGTAACTCTCACACGACCGGTGAGAGTCGAAGTATCGTTCCATCGGATATTGAGACTAAAAGGAATAGAGAGTGCACTTGTGTCTGCGCGTACACGCGCTGCACTATAATATCTCCTGGGCATCTGGCTAGCCTGAGTGAGATTGGCCGCTGTGACCGAAATCGGTCAGAAGGATATTATTATTATTATTAAAAGTCGTGTTCACTGGTCGCATCACTTGGGAACAGCTAAACCAAATTGGCTAATTTTTTAGAGAAAAAAATTTGGAAAATTGCCCGGAAAATTGGGGAATTCGGGAGTAACTAAAGGTATTTTTTCTATAGATTTTTTGTATTACACTAATTCATAAATTCATATATTGAAATTAGGATAGAACAATGTCAGGTGACATAGCTTTACAATAAATTTTAGTTTTTTTAATGTAAGTAATTATAGCATACCAACCCATCACCAACCCGCCAGCGTGGTGGACTATGGCCTGATCCCTCTCGGATTGAAAGAATGCCCAACCCCAGCAGTGGGACTTTAAATTGGGCTAAATACATTACAATGCATACCATTAATTCAATCTCTCCATCGTTATAAGAAGTGCCAGCTTGAGCTCTATCAGTGAGAACGCAGAGACCGTCTCTACTGTTTTCCAAGCATATTTTCCTCACAGGATATTGGCAAGCGGCTAATTTACGTTTGCTTGTCCCACCTAGAGATACAATTCGAGATTCAAAATCACTCATGACTTAGAAAAAATTCTAACAAAGATTAAGTATTTATACTTTATATAGTATTTTTTACATAAATAATATTATACGTATGTATCTATTGGAAAACCATTTCGAATGCACAATCTTTTGGTAAATTTTATTACCAAAAGTGGTGTTATTTGAGGTTTCAAAATCTCATCTAAATCTATCCACATATACTTGTAAATTTCGTACAGTAGGGATCCCGATCTATGTGGTGAGCCCCTCACTCTTTTTCACACTTTACCTGACACCCAGGTATAAACAGGTAAATTGAAGTTAATTTCTTATATCGTTTTCCGGAACATAGTATCAAATTGTACACAATTTTTATTACAAATGATATTGGGCTGCCATACCAAAACATCTCCAGACTAGACGTTTCTTAGTAAAAAATAGCCTGGTGCTTGGTGATAAGCCCCGTGGGCCGTGTTTCTTACTATGTTTTATGGTTTAAATTTTTAATATTTAATTTACAGATTCGGTTTAGTTACAATTTTATTATATGTATAGATATACGTACCGGAAGATTCATTTAAACAAGACCGTTTGATCATTTGTCTGCCGTTAGAGTCCGTGTAGAATATACCGTTATTTGTAATGTTTGATTTGAAAATGGTAACTACTTCTTTACCAAGATCATTTCTAAAACAAATTAATGAATTAAATATTCTAATACATTAATGTGTCAGATTGTTAATTTGCTTTTTTGATCTAGTGGGTCTGGAGGTTCTGGGTTCGATTCTGAGGTCAGGCCATTTTCAGTAACAGTCCAGAGTTGAGATGTTGGTCTTTCATCATAATCCAAAACAGAGCAAGCAAAGACTTCGGGTCGGTTCTGCGCCTGATCTCCAATCAACGCCAAATTGTTATCCTACCGATGATAGCTAGTTATTGAGATTGACCGCTGTAGTCTAAATCTTATTATTATGTATAATATATGTATTTATTATTAAAAATATTATTAATAAGTAACCCTTTGTATAAATTATGGTCTAAAAACAAACGCGGTAAGAATAAGATTAAAAAACCCAAGAATTTTTTTCTGTTAGATTGTAACCATCGTCCTATGTAGATTTTTTAAATTTTATAACCTACATATTTATTAAACAAGGTAATAAATAGGCTGTCTAACATCAGGCTATTCGAAGCATTAAGTGGAATTGCGGGCAAAGTTTTTTTTTTATTTATTTAGGTCTACAAACAGTGTTCACAATAAAGCAAATATATAAACAACTAATATAATTAAAAAAATAATTACACCAGCATCGTTGACCACAGGTTTCTAACGGGTCTTGAGAAGTGGTAATGTATTTAGTTTTCAGTACAAGTAAAAAAGAAATATAGTATCTTCTATATTACAAAGAGGTAAAGTTAGGAAGTAGATAGTTTGTGACCCTAGAAAGGAGATAGGATACTTTTTATTACGGAAATCATCCCTTAAGGAGGTGAAAAAGGGGATGAAAGTTTGTATGGGGAATGAAGCTAGGGACGAACCGGAGAGAAGCGAGTTTTTAATAAAGTGTCTTACCCAATAGGCACAGGACCAATAATCCATTCAATTTCAACGAACTCTTCGCCGCGATACAATCTTATTATTTGCGTGATCCAATCAGTGAATCTCTGTCTTATTTCTTTTACTAACGACCCTCTTATCGTATGGTACATCACCGTATCTGTTACCTGAAATTTTTTATTTTAATTACTAACACTGACTTACTCTCGCTTCGCATGGATGTGTCCCTAGGTACGTTTTTTTTTGAGTGCAACCCTAATTCTTTTTCTAAAATAAAAGTAGCCTAAGTTACTTTTATAAGCTATTTTTAAAATGCAAAATTAAAAAAAAAAATCTTATAAGTACCGTATATAATTTCATACGCATTTAGTAAAAAGCTGTTATTTTGACATTACAAACAGACTTTAACTTTATTTATCTGTATAGATAAGCGTATATGTTACTCCAGCTATAGCTTATCTGTGTGTACTAAATTTTATCCAAATCCGACCAGCCGTTTGAGTAATATACACAAATAAACTTTGACATTTATAATTATACTAGCAGAACTCGTGGCTTCGCTCGCGCAAAAACTACAAAAAAAATTTGAAAATGTAAATTTCATATAAATTTTCGTCCCCTATTTTACCCCCTTACGGGAAGAATTTCAAATAATGCAAATAAACGTAATTAATTAATTGTATTGAAGAGGATTAATGAAAACCAAGTACATGTTTTCCCGCGGGAATGAGATAATCTCCCGCGGTAGAAAGTAGCCTATAAATAAATAAATATGTTGGGACATTGAGGCGGCCGCTGGCGCAATAAGTAGGGGTCAGAACAAACTGAGCCAAACGTGTCGTCGAAAATCACTTTAAAAATAAACGAGATTTAATAAAATATATGAGAAGACCAATCACTATTATTTAAAATTGGTAGAGAAGGCGTAACATACACCCCAACACCCAAAAAAATTAAGTCCTTCATTTTTGCATCAAGAATTCCTTAATGGGAATAAAAATCCTATAGCTTTCCACCCATTAGGTTTGTTTTTTCTCGCTATGTTTGTTATTTTGTTTGTTTTTGTATTACAATAATACTTTTAACTTACGGATATGGGTTTTTCTTGGGCAGGTCTAAAGCTGTAAACGCCAGAGTTTTGAATATTCTGCACTTGACTGTAATAGTACCAATTTTGTGATATACTCATTTTTATCCCGTCTACATGTTGGATCGATTCCAGGAGACCGGTTGTTTTGTTAACGGTCACTTTTATGTACTGGAATGTAAAATAAAGTGTGTTAGGAATAATTTTTAATAAAATCATGTTTTTTTCGGAAAAGTTGCATGTTTTCCAAAAATACACCTAATAAGAGAGTGTGTAACATCATTACACCAAAAATAATAATTTAAAATGGCACCTCTGAAACATGCTTTATACATCCTAAGACTCTAATAATAAGAATCTAATTCAGTTAAAGTAACGTACAGGGAATCAAAGGAAAAATTGGCTACAATGCTGATGATAAAAGTTGATGAGAACGTTTTAAAAGTTTAGGTTTTAATCACTATTAAGCATGGTGTCATTTCAGTATTTTTTTTTGGATTTCCGATACAAGGCAGACCAGAAGAACACTCAGTGTATAATGTTTTTATTAACATTAATAAAATATACATACAGAACTTACTTCGTTAGAAATAAATGGCAGAAATTCTTGTTCTATTTCTGGATTTTGAGATTTTTTTGAAAATTCACCTTCCGCCTAAAAATTATAAAATAAGACTTATTAATTAATAAAAAAAACTCCTAAAGATGCTAAAAACCATTACATAAAAAATAATATGAAAAGAAAATAATGTTTTATAATATTTACCTACAGGTAGCGGCGACTCACCCTAGCTTCGCTCGGGTTCGGGTTCGCTATATACGTTTTAACTAGTATGTTATAGACTATATATACATACATAGTTACGATGAGTTTTATATCCCTCACTTCAGAAGTGTTTATTTCCCATACAAACTTTCATCCCCTTTTCACCCCCTTAAGGAATGATTTCCGGAATAAAAACTATCCTATGTCCTTCCCAGTGTCTCAAACTATCTTCATATCAAATGTCATCTAAATCGGTTCAGCGGATTTTTAGTTTATCCGATACAAACAAACGTACAAAAGAACATTTTTTTGTCTCTTTATAATATTATGTAGATATATATAATTATATATACGCACTTACTAGTTGATCTCTTATACTGGACATGTAATATGTGGTGAAACCCATAGGTGGTATATTTTCTGCTTCAAAAAATATCTCCTGTATTGCAGTGGAAGATCGTCCTGGTAGATTTATTACAGCCGCTGGTAGTGGCACTAGCTGATACTCAACGTCTTCGTCTGCATACAGTTTTAAAAAATAAAAGTAAAAATATATGTATAAAATCATTGAAAATTTTGTGTTTCGTTATGTTTGTCTCTTCTTCACGTAAACGGCTAAACAAATTTTAATGAAATTTAGTACATAAATAGATATAACCCGGATTCAGACTTACGAATAATATAGACCATCAAAAAATGTCAATGTCAAAAATGGTAGCGTGTTTTGTCGTTTATGCTACTATTCTCGATAAATCGTTAAGGTACTTTCTTCAAGGAATAAGGGAAATTTTATAAAGTGTACTAGAATAATAACAGCTAAAATTATATCCATTATGAATTATAAAACTTATTAAAATTATAAAATGTTTAAAATTAAAATTAACAAAATTTGTAAGGTACTTTGGTGCCATTTTTGAATTTTTTGAATTCATTTTGTTATTTTGTGGGTAGGCTGCCTGTAACATCTGTCTGCCTTTGATACATCTAAAACCTTAGTCTCTCCCATGACCACGATTGCTGTAAAGCATTCGAAACGTCGGGACCAAAATTTTAAAATAAACCCGCGCAAAAATCCGAAAAGACAGTTTTATTTAAAATGATTGAATGGTTTTGAATGAGACATTTTTGTTGTTTTTTTAAACCTTTCGTGGAACTTACCCTTAAAATCCCTTATAGAGTAATGTAGAGCAATGGTTGGCAAACGTATGTGGTGGTAGGTCTTGATGCTGAGAGGATTGTAAACAATGAGAAGTATGGATTCTTGAGTCTCTGTAAACTGTATATATAGCTAGTATTAGCTTTTCAGTGTGGCTTTTTCCGATTATATTTAAATTTTAATTCAGTATATTTTTACAAATGAAGGTTAAATCTCTAAATGAGAAAGTTACTGCCTGATTGTTGAGATCTTAGAGAGAAGGCGATGTTAACTGCGTTTATCTATCGAATTGGGGTCCAATTTTCAGAAACGATTCGATTCTCGAAGCGAATTTTGTTTCTCTTATTTAAACTATAGTTATATGAGTCTAAAGAGTTTGATTGTTTATTGGAACGTGGTGATCTCTGGAAGTACCTACCAAAAAAAATATCTAAATCTAACATCAATTGTACATGTATGTATTATGTGGACTGGTCGAATTTGCCAGGACTCGCCTCTCAAGAAAATGGTCTCTCGAGCTTTGGTGTGCTGCAGATCAGGCGATTGCTTCCATACATACATAATGTATAGATTAGTTTGAGGTGCTCGTTTGTTGAATATTTCGCCAGATTAGTTAATATCTTATTAAATAACAATTTCGTTTTAAGATAAATATCGTCTTATGAATAAGGAAATTGTAGCATTAGATTGCTTTAACTTGGTTCACACTTTGGAGTCCGTTTAACCAATTTTTGTCATAATATTACGAATGAATGAAATATTAACAAGGTATTAAAACAAATTAATCAAATCGCTCCAGTCGTTTTCAAGTAATGCGCTTATTACCCCTTATTAACTTTTATTCTATAAATGAAAACTTACCCTACACTGACTCATATTTAATTGATGGCATACTATAAACTGTTGAGAATTCTTTGGTCGCCTGCTTCCACCCCATGTTGGTGTTAGAACACTAAAATCAATCGTAAATATATTTTCACTATTTCTTTTTCATAAAAATAATATAATAGTGGTAGCTCAGTGATGATGCTCTCGCTTTTAAAACCCAGTCAAGCGGGTTCATATCCCGGGTCTTGCACCATTGATATTTTCATTTCCAACATTATTACCACTTGTCCTACGGTGAAGGAAAACATTGTGAGGAAACCTGCATTTCTGAAAGAACCTAGCAAGTTTTCGGAAGTCATGCTCAATCCACCCGCACTTGGCCAGCGTAGTGGACTATGGCCTGATACCCCTCGTATTAAAGGGTGGTTGTGGCTGAATACAATACAATAAAAATGAAATAAAAAGTCACCCCTTTTAATATCCCCACTTGGCCTTAATGTGAGGAATCTTATATTGAGTATGCTAAGCACGGAATAAACTATTTAGGTGTCTTTAAATGTGCAGGTTGTCTCAGAGTTGTTTCTTTCAAGTTGAAATATCTGTTTTAATTAATATTGAATATCTCAAACTTAACCTAATTTTTGGTTATTATGTGTAATTATTAGCAGCAACTGCCTGTACTTTGTATTTCTCGTTACATATTCTGTATAAACGACGACACGTTTGGCTCACTTTGTAGTAACCCTACTTGTTATAACAGCGGTCGCGGGTTCAAGTCTCCAAATCAATCTGTCCAAATGCGATAAGTCCCAAAAACGACCGAACAGGTTTTCACCAATGGGCGGAGTGATTCATAAGGAAGGTTTATGTGTACATATAAAAATCATTAAGGTTTTTTTGTAAATTGGCTGAAGTATGCGATGATTGTTGAAGATGTCGGAAAAAATCATGCCGACTGGGAGCTTTATTGGTGTACGTCACGTAAACTAATAAAGTTATATGAAAACAATGTGTTACAGAAGTATTCCTCTTTAAAGGAATAGAGGAAAGGTTTCCTATTAAACTGTAGCAAGTAGCAACGTTATGTGCTAAGTCACTAAGTCACTAATAACATATAAATTAGGTAGTACCTTAAAAACTGTGAAACTTTCTTCGTGCAAGCGTCTATAGCTTCAGATAATATTTTGATAAAATCATTCGCTACTTGCTGTTGACTAGTTCCTAAAACGAAACATATGTTTATAGTTATTAATGTAAAAAGTATTATAATTACTATAATTTTTACAATATTAAATAAACTTAATAGTAGTAAGCCTATAATAGATCCTTGTGGAACTCCATTACTTTTTCCATATAAAGTTCGAATCGTGTAAAGTCGCATTAGCTTATTTTAAATACATTTTTTTTCTTTAGCAAGGTTTCAAATAATACCTGTTATAGCATCGTGATGTAACATCAAACCGACTGAGTGTCGTAATAGATGCAATTCATATGAATCGCCCATACGTGATAATACTGAGAGTTGTTTTACTATCTGCAACAATTTTAATGTGTGTTAAATTAAAAGTAACATGTTTGTATTTCTTGGCCTGTCTGGTTAATTATATATCGTTCGAAAAAAAACTGGGTGGTGTAAAATTTAGCTCTTATTTTACAGGTTTGTAAGTAATATTACTTACGAAACATATGTAGGTTTTATTTCTATCGGTGCAGTAGAGCTAAAGATGCAGCATGAACTAACCTTCTTCTGATTTCGTACAAATAGGAAGTTATAATCTCTTACCATAATCTCACAAAAAGCTTTTGTGGAGTAATTAGGAACATAAATGTACAATCAGAAACGTAATTTTTAATGTAACACGTTTTTCTTACCTGTAAAAATACGTGAGCTCTCATTGCCAAAAACTTAAGACTCGGTCTAGAAGTGTAAAATCCAGTCCAATACGTATTTACGTCACTTCCATATGGCAAATGGTCGCCCTGTAAATGAATTCAAAATGTATTAATTAAGACATAAGATGACAGTGAAAAAATATAAAAAGTCTAATTTTTGTTTCCTTTAGTAAGTAACATTACATAGGCTTGGCAAGGGGCTTAGTAATCGGAGACTATTTTTATATATACGAGTACATTAGAAGTAACAGAACAAAAAAAAAAAGTTTGTTAGTAAGCAAAAAGATATATATATATATATTCGAAAAGATCTAAATTTATTAAAAGAGGAAAAAATTAGTTCTTCCAGCCGGATCCATATAATATAGCAAATTAATTAAAATTAATTAATAATATTAAATTAGTATAATTTTTACCTTTTCTGTATATAAAGCTTTATCTCTTCTTCCATATAAGTAAATAGCTTTCAAATAGCAAGATGGTGTAGAGTAAAATATATTTATATCTGAAATATTAGCTCGGTGTGCTGTCACGTGACTGAAAAAAATACACTAGTTTGCGAGGATGTATAAGGTTTGAGTATCAAATCAGTTTAAAAATGACTGAGTTATAAGGTTTTTCTGTCAAGAAGTACTTGGTGGCAACTTGAACCTGGGAAGCGAGCTATAAGTACATTGGAGCCCTGTACTTTATGTTTAAGGTTATCTCAGCTTGCTTATTAATCATGAGAGTATTCGAATAGTCAATCTATCGTGATTATTCTTGTGCACTTTAATAAAAACTCTCGTGCAGACAGCTAGATTTTGTGCTAGACTGTCGTGTTGGTCTAGCTCTAGTACTACTCTAGTAGCCTGTACGGCATCAAAAGGTCTTAAGTTCAAGGTCCGGGATAGCCTTAAAAAATTCTGGATTTTTCTGTCACGAAATACTCAGTAAAGCTCATATTTGGGAAGTTGGTGGTGTTTTCACCTATATGTCTCGAAGAGCATATTAAGGTGTCGGTCCTACATCTTATCTTTCATCGCTTGTGTCGAAGTGAGGCCCCATCCTAATATGACAGTGAAAAAAAAAGTTTTATAAAAGTCAGTGTCGGACCACGTCCTTCAAAAAATTAGTCTCAGTACCGCTAGTTCTTAGCAAATCTAAAATGTAATTGCCAAATACATAAACATATTGTAAACATAATAAAAAGGGCACGGAAAATTAAAGCCTGTGGATGTAGTTTTATTTAAAAAAAAATGACAATGAATGGAATAGAGAGTACACTTGTGTCTGCTACTACACGTGCAGTATAATATGTCCCGCGCAGTAAGTCGTGAGATTGGCCGCCGTAACCGAATTGGGTTGGGAGGGTAGTACTTTTTTATATCTTATGCTAGATATATCTCGTGCCGCGAGAAAAATCCGCGGGCAGAAGTATGTTTAACAACAATATAGTTTTTGACATTTAATGCAAATAAAAAATATCGATGTCATATTTTTATCCTAGTTAACGATCTAGATCAAGGTTCAGAATTGCTTTTTACGACAATATTGCTACTTGTACTTAGAATTTATCAAAGTAATATATTTTTGTATTAAATATTGATTTTGTATTCTAGATAATATAACTACGTAATACTCGTATAATAAATAATGAAAATGACTGATGGAAAGTGATCACCGCTGCCCATGGACATGTGCAACACGCAGGGCTGCGGTGTTTTTTATCCCTATAATTGTAGGGATAAAAAACTCGATGCAACGTGCGAGCCAAGCGTATAGGATACTGCTATAAATGCTAAATTTCTATGTGTGTATGTTTGTCACTCCTTCAGGCTAAAACGGCTGGACGGATTTGGATGAAATTTAGGATTTGGGGTGAAATTTAGAAGGATAGGATTTCGATAGATAAATATGAAATATATATTTTTATTAGCTTTTTAGTTTATGCCTAAATTTAGACATTTAAAGTTATATTTAGCAATTTTTTCTCATAAATTACTTTTAAACATAAAAGTTGTATCGAGTGGGGTATCAAAATAAACACCTTTATTTTGATACCCCAGTCGATGTTTGGAAGAATTATTTTAAAAGACACACAAATTGGCGTCTGAAATCCGCTATATTAATTTTTAACTATTTTTATATAGCCTATATACACTCGCGTTATCAAGACGAATTTAGCGACATATGAATCATCAAAATCGGCCTCAGCGTTTTGCCTCTAGAATGCCATATAGGAACAAATATACATACATAGACTGATAAACACATTACCCTCCTTTGCGTCGCGCAGTCGGGTAGAGAAGCAACACATTATCTAAATACAAAATTTAATCCAAATCGTTAGAGCCGTTTTCGAGATACAGATACATACAGATAAGCTATTGACCGTTTTTTTCCAAATGTGTTTGCTTAAGAAATAACCTTAAGACAAGGAATAGTATTGTGTTGTATAGATATTACCAATCAATTACATACATTATTAGTAGAAATAATCCTAATTGATTTATGTCACTTAAGTCATTTTCACTGTAATTATCACTGTATTCAGTCCTTATTTCTAACATCCCACTGCTGGGGGTGGGTCTCTCTTCTGTACGAGGGGGATCAGGCCATAGTCCACTACGCTGGCCGAGTGCAGGTGGATTTCACGTGTCTTCCGAAAACTTGCTAGGTTCTCTCAGACATGCAAGTTTCCTCACGATGTTTTCTTTCACCGTAAGATATGTGGTAATCACGTTGAAAATGATTCGCACATGAAAATATCAGAGGTGCGAGACCGGGATTGGTAACCGCTTCACTCCGTTTCCCGAGCGAGCGTTAACACTGGGCTATCCCTGCCTTGGAGATTATCTCACTACTAATAAAAATGCGAAAGTATGTGTGTCTGTTTGTTACTCATTTATACTGAAACGGCTGGACGGATTTGGATGGATTACGAGAATTTGGGAACTTTAAACTTACTTTATCAATTTGTCTATATTCATAAACCAATTTGCGGCGCTTTGGTAAGTAAAATCTCCGCCCATGGTCACCATAATATTATCATGATCGTAGTATTTTGCTTGTTTTTCTACTTGCGATATGAATGTGTTTACCTGAAAATTATGAAATTTTTGGTTATGTGTTATTAAGTCTTCTATTTTTTCTATAAATATCTACTTCATAAGAAACTGAATCTCATAATATTTTCTAAGACTTACGCGAATATTTGACATTTAAAAAAAAACTATCTTTTCGGATCTTTTCAGATTTATTTTAATGTTTGGTTCTCGACTTTTCAAATGCTTTACATCAATCATCTGTCTCCGCGATTTAGTAGTATGTTATATATAGTAAGTATCATATAAGCAGTTATTTCAAACTTACCCGTATATCAGCATTGTACACAGAGCTATCGGGGTCATCGACAATAGGTTCGTCACTGCAAAGTAAGTCAAAGCAAAAGCCGTCTGGAGCGTTGTATAGATTATATAATGTGTGTGTTAGTATATCCGACATTTTACCTAAACGAAAGAAAATTATAGCTTTAAAAAAGAGCCAGACTGAAACCTAAAATATACCATAGCACAGTAGACATTTTTAGACTCATTTCAATCAATTTCAAATTACATTTAGAACCAAAGTCAGTGTAGTCATCATTATCATCGTCAGTATTTTCATTTTTTTTAATAATATGTAGGGAGGTGAATTTGTCATAAATAATCTTTTCGGAGTTTTCTTCGGATTTATTTTGGTATTTGGTTCCCGAAATTTCGGATGCTGTACAGCAATCATGGTCACAGGATAGACTCAAATCACGGGAAAGATTCGTACTATTACAGGTACAGATACAATTATTTTTAAAATCAGTTTACCTTTTTAGTACGAAAATATGTATGTATATATTTTTAATTATTTATATCAACAACAATAATAGTTTAGCTTCTCTATCATACACTCATATACAAATAACAAAGGTTTCATATTTAATGGTTGTGGCAAAAAGACAATTTCTCTCGTTATCTTACCAAGAACGTCACTTCCCTTCCACATAAATTCCATTCTATCTTCTTCAAGCATCGCTTCTCTTTCTTTATGGTCCACTCTACCTTTAAAAAAATGACATTTAAAATCATAATTTTATTAAAAATTATGATTATCTCCTCGATTTTCTAAGCTGGTTAATTTTAAATTATTTGGTTGACAAAATCTTTCCGCTCATCTTATATTGTTAAGATTAAGATTTAAAGATAATCAAAAAGTCTGTAATCCATGTTTATAATAGAGCTACAATTTTTTTTATTTTAAAATCATACCTATAAAAAGACCATCAAACCCCATCTGAGCCAGTAAGGAGCTATGTTCTTTTGTATGTCCGTATGTGTCCACTTGCCATGCAGCTTTGGGTGTACCACAAGGTCCTAGCGTGTCATTGAGTTTCCTGAAAAGAAATATAAATATACTTCCATAGTTATTTAAATATTTTTTAATATTTATAATACACACACTTTACATAATAATTTTTTTTATTTTTTATACAATCTTAACAGATTTAAGTTTGATACGTAAAATAATAAATTCACAAAAAAATAAGTTTTTTAAGAATAGAGTGTAAACATTTTTTTTAAATTTTCAATAGCTTAAAGACTAACGGATGATAATTCATTTTAACGATTTAGTAATATTACTTTTGTAGCAATCATTTTCTTACATTCAAATACTCAATACTAAAAATAATTTAATGAAGCTTTCTAAGAATTATAAATATTTCTGTTCTCACCTCAGTCCCCAAGTATATTGGTCGAGGAGTTGGAGATAGTCCACAGTGGCTTCATCGGCCTGTACCCAGCCACCACCAGCAAACTGTATCCGACCTTCAGCTACCAGAGATCTGAATGTAGACCGAGTGGTTCCACGCTGCTCCTTCCACCATCGCCAGAAATATCCAGTTTCTGAGAAGGTGAACCTTGAAAATTCTAAATAGTTAATAATATCTTTGTTCTAGCATGTTCATGTTGGCTCTTATCACGAATTCGATTATTTAACTATTATTATTTGCAATCCAGCTCCAGCTAAGTGGAGCGACGATATATGTAAAGTGCCTGGTAGCGGTTGGGTGCGTAGAGCTGAAGATCGAGCTCAGTGGCGCACCAAAGGAGAGGCATATGTCCAGCAGTGGATGTGAGCAGGCTGAATATGATGATGACGATGAATTTACAATAATGTATATTTTAGCTTAGGTAGCATATATCTATCAAAAGTGTACTTACTTCCTTCTTTTGTCGTGTAACAGCTCTGAGAGGACTGAGTGATAGATTAATTGGACGTTTGCAGTACTGATGCTAGATTTAGCTGTAAAGAATGAAGATGAGAATTATAAAAGGACTACTTACTATTACATTATATGTAAATGAAATAATAATTATTATAGTAAAAATTATCTTTTGTTATTTTAATTACTTACTTCCATGATAATATTGGTCGAAAGTCTTCACCCACCCTGCGTCCATGTGGGAGTGCGGTATGATATGCACGTTAAGAGCTCCGTCTCTAGTTGGAGGACATTGCTGTTTAAAGAAATAGAATCATACAATATTTATATAAATAAGAATAAAGTACTGTTTATTGGTAAGTCCAACCCATTACTAGAGAACTGATTTGGTTACTTTTTGAAAAAAATGTTTGTAATAGCTTGAATAAAGCATCTAGGTGAAGAATTGTCAGGAAAATTGGGGAGTTTGGGAAAAATAGTGATCTTTTCTATAGTAATTTTTTAAGAACTTAAAGGTCAGACAAACAAAATTGAAATATGGTCAGTACAAAGTTGGTCGGCTAGTTAATTATAAATACGAATATTTGTATGTTTGTTTGTTACATCTTCACGCTGATAGAGCTAGATAGGTTTGAATGAAATTCAGTACACAGATAGACCATGACTTGGAGTAGCACATAGGCACCTAGGAACGCGAGCAAAAGGCAGTATAATATCCATAGGACCTAGTATTCTTCTTTGTCAAGAAGAAGATGAAGAGTAATTAAAAAAAAACAGGAAAAAAGTATTTTATAGTGATCCATTGATCAATAGTGCTGTAATAAAAATATTTTTTATTTACCTTGTATCCGCATTCTACTTTAGGCGTTGTTATACATTTAACTATCGAAAAGGCCATAATTATTATAATTCTAATCATTTTACATACAAGATAGATTTTTTTAATAAAATATAGTTATTTTTACACTATACGAGTACACTATCAGATATTGCTGATATAGTTTCACTCATAGAAGTTTTATAATCGATCCGTAATTTTTTAACTGAAACTAACTGAAAAACAACCAAGCAGTAGTATTAGGTAAGGTTTTTATAAGGGTGTATTTAGAATGAATATTGTTTCATAAATTACTATATGTTTCTCGCGTCTCTGCCCTCGTTTTACGTTGGTGAAGATAAATTAAATATTATATAGGCCATGTAAATGAAAATTAGAGACAGTGGTAGCTCAGTGGTAACGCGCTCGCTTAGGAAACCGAGTGAAGCGGGTTTAAGTTTCGAGTCTCACACCTCTGATATTTTCATGTGCGAATCATTTCCAATATGATTACCACTTGTCTTACGGTGAAGGAAAGCATTGTGAGAAAACCTGCATATTTGAGAGAACCCAAGTTTTCCAGCAGGCCAGCGTGATGGACTATGGTCTAATCCCCCAAAGCTACGAGATTAAAAAGCCTTTATTTTTTTTTGAATACCATAAATTTCAACAATTCAATTTTCTTGTCAACGGCTTCAAAGCGTGACAATTGAGCACAGATCACTACGCCACATAGAATGGAGGAGACAAAAATGAGATTATCAAAAACCAAAATATGATTTTAATATTAATTGAATCATTTGAAAATTGCCAAAACAAGTAATCTTACTAATGTAATAATTACAGTGCGGGACTTTATCGCGCGTGAATTTGTCTGTCCGTGACCACGGCTCGTGCAATCCAGTCGAAACGTCAGGAACAAGGTAAGCAAATTTTTTTGCAGCCACTTTTATTCACGCGTTAAGTCTCATAGTGTAATTATTACATAATTACTAGCGACTTACCCTCGCTCCGCTCGGGTTCGTCCTTGGTGTGGGGTCTGGGAGGACCACCCTTATCCTTATCACTTAGGGGTATGAAAAATAGATAGTAGCCGATTCTCAGACCTACTGATTACGCATATAAAATTTGGTAAAGTCGTTTCGGAGGAGTACGGTAACAAACATTGTGACATGGAAATTTTATATATAAGATGAAACGCGATAATTTAAAAAGTAATCTTATTGTCCGTGATATCGATTTTTTTTAAAGAAATGAAAAGATTTTAATTATAATTTCATAGCACCAAATAAATTATTTTAGAACCTTCTTTTCTATGTCTTAAAAAATATCTCCATTATGAACAAAACTTTATACTCTATAGAGAACTAAGTTTCGTATTCACATACGTATATTTTCCGTAAACATTCAACAATCTGTTATTTGATAAAAGTGAGAACGTTTTATTTCGCACTACTCGTTACGTAGAGGCGATTCAGAGTATCAGAGACTAGGAAACAGCTGCGGTTTTGTCTGCATATATGGCATTTATAATTCATCGCTACATAGTATAAAACAAAGTCGCTTTCTCTGTCCCTATATCCCTATGTATGCTTAAATTTTTAAAACTACGCATCGGATTTTGATGCGGATTTTTTTAATAGATAGAGTGATTCAAGAGGAAGGTTTTAGTATATAATTTGTTAAGTTTTTGTATACATTGGCTAAAATATAACGATATTTGTTGGAGGTGTCGGAAAAAATAAGACGTCTGGGAGCTTCCAACGAAAACGCTGCCTAAACCCTTTGAGATATAACAAAATAATGTATGGTGGAATTGTGTATCTTATATAGGTCTACAGAAAAGTCCGCGATGGTATTATGTCTATCTTTTAAGGATAACATACTATATCCATTTTAATTTAAAAGGTACCGTACCCGTGTAATAAAAAAACTTTTAATAATAGGTTCCTTGGTTGGGACTGTGAATGTTTTACTTTTTGCCTTAATTTTGTTAGGTATCTATCAATGTACAATATATGCATAGCCTTTTATCATCGAAGGTTTCTGACTAAAACACATGGCTATATATATATATAGCTTAGAGCTATGTTTAAATGTAAATAACTATGTAACTGACATAATAACATACTTGTTTGCTGAGGAAAATTTTGCAACCGAACTGTTTAAAAGATAAAGGACAAGAACACCGAAACCGAAACACACACACACACGCACACACGCGCACACGGACACACAAACGCACATGGATACGGACACGCACGCACGCATGCACGCACATACATACAAACAAAAATTCATAATTATAATAGTAGTGTGATATATAAATATTTACTAAAATACATTTAGCATTTAAATATTGAGCCCTGGTCATGTTAGTCTGGTGGTTAAATAATACCACAGAAATACACAGAGTTGTAGGTAGAAGCTCGTATTATATTACCTTATATAATCTATTAATATAATAAAATTGTAACCAAGCCGAATCTGTACATTAAATATGTTTCGGAAAATCTTATTGAAATAGTCATTATTATCGATAAAGAGGCCGAATCTATAGTTTTTAGAATTTTTGTCCGTCTGTCTGTCTATTTGTCTGTCTGTCTGTCTGTTCGTCTGTTACCGCATCACGGAAAAACCACTGGAGGAATTTTAATGAAATTTGGTATGATGATAGCTGGTTATCGGCTATGTGAACTTGGCACCCGACTTTGGAAAAATTGTTCTTTTTTAGGTTTATTTGAACGATTTCGGTTAGTAGTAGATAGTAGTGAAGCTAACTTCGTTTGTAGTAGTGCCAAAAAAAAAATACAGACAACAAAAAAAATGTCATCCCCCGAAGTTGGTAAAAAAATGTTTTACGCTTGATTCGTATAGAAAAACATTAGTAGTGGTTTGTAGTGCAATTTTTTTCGTTTGTAGTAAAACAAAAAAATAATTTTTTTTTTTCGAGTATATTTGCAGAACGATTTTTACTACATACATTCATTGTTTCGTTTGTAGTACCATTGTTTTGTTTGTAATAACGTTAATTTCGTTTGTAGTTGTTGTCGTTTGTAATAATGGTACTACAAACGAAACAATGGTACTACAAACGAAATAATGGTACTACAAATGAAATTAACGTTATTACAAACAAAACAATGGTACTACAAACCAAATTAACGTTACTACAAACCAAATTAACGTTACTACAAACGAAATTAACGTTACTTCAAACGAAGTAATGGTACTACAAACCAAAATTAACGTTACTACAAATGAAATAATGGTACTACAAACGAAACAATGAATGTATGTAGTAAAAATCGTTCTGCAAATATACTCGAAAAAAAACATATTTTTTTTTTTGTTTTACTACAAACGAAAAAAAATGCACTACAAACCACTACTAACGTTAATACTACTACAAACGAAGTTAGCTTCACTACTATCTACTACTAACCGAAATCGTTCAAATAAACCTAAAAAAGAACCATTTTTCCAAAGTCGGGTGCCAAGTTCACATAGCCCTGGTTATCCGGGTCAAAATAAAGGATACTTTTTACTGCGAGCAAATATTGCATCTCTGAGAAATCTATCCTAAACGTTAAAACGTAGCTATATATATCGTCGTAGCTATATATGTCGCTAGCTAACTTATAAGTTATGCAACATTAAGATACTTTAAATCGACAGTAATATGACCTTATTACTTAATTAACTTTATTGCTAATATAAATTACTTTCGACTATATGAATTAAAAAAAAACTTTAAAATGATTGCTTTCATCTTAGTGGGTGGTTTCTTTATTTATATTAAACTTACCTTGAGGGTATCTATTTTTAACCAACTTCCAAAAAGGAGGAGGTTTTCAATTCATCGGAATCTTTTTTTTTTTTTTACGTATGTTCACAGATTGTTCGAAGACGCCTGAACCGATTTGGATTTTTTTAAGATATAAGACAATTTTAATAGAGAGTGCACGTTGTGTCTGCGCGTACACTTGTGCACTATAATATCTCATGCGCAGTTGGCTAGTCTCAATGAGATTGGCCGCCGTGGTCAGAATCGGTCAGGAGAACATCATACAATCCAAAAAAATATTTATGATCAGAATTACTTGAAACTTGGTATTAATGCTCTTTAATAAAATTAAATAAATACATCTTTTAGCATTTTTCGAAATTAATTCTCTATGGGGATAATATAGGGCATGAAAGTTTGTATGAAATTACCTTTTTAGATATTTTTTGTAATCTTAGCGTGAGCGAAGCCGCGGGTTCTGCTAGTATTGTATATATTGTCATACTATATTACATATTGAAAAAAGTCGACAAATCCAAGCTAAGCGAGAATAAGTCACTAGTTTCACAGAAAAAAAAATTAAAACTCCTATATAATCTATATAGTAGTCCTTTTATTTTTGTATTTGGTATATTTCTTAGTATCTAGGCGAACAAAATTTGCGGGTTTTTCGAAAAAGACATCAAAATTGCGGTTTTCTGTAAAAAAATGTGGTTTTTCTGTAAAAAAAGACAAGAAAAAAAGATCTTCATTGATAAACTTAAAAAGCAAAATCTTATCTAAATACAAGAATATCTAAATATCTTACCTAAATACTAAATACACAATTTGTTCTAAATCGTTGAAGCCGTTTCCGAGGTGTATTCAGCCCTTTTTAACGTCCCACTGCTGGGCACGGACCTCCCTTCAACACGAGGGGGATCAGGCCATAGTCCACCACGCTGGCCAGTGCGGGTTGGCGGACTTCACGTCTTTTGAAAACTCGCTAGGTTCCCTCAGACATGCAGGTTTCCTCGCGATGTTTTTCCTTCACCGTAAGGCAAGTGGTAATCATGTTAGAAATGATTCGCACATGAAAATATCAGAGGTGCGAGACCCGGGATTTGAACCCGCTTCACTCGGTTTCCCAAGCAAGCGCGTTACCACTGGGCTACCACTGCCTTTTTTAACGAAACACGTTAACACGAAATAAATTTGAATGTATACAGGAATTGCTCATTTGGTATTGTAAGATTGTGGCAACCCTGTTCTTCCATCCTGCCTCCCTTAAATTCGGCTCGGACTGTACTAATTTTATTTAATCGCCTACAGTAACACCATGCCTTATGATTATATCAAAGGTACCTTTAATCGTTTTAGCAATAAAGTATTTAAATGCTGCTAGTTTCCTACTTGTATACAATTATGTTAAGGCAAAACTGTTAATACATATATATATATATATATATATATATATATATATATTTCTATTATAAATAATCACTACATATTATATAACAAATTCCTCCGACGCGTCTGTCTGTCTGTTCGCGATAAACTCAAAAACTAGTGCACCGATTTTCATTCTGTTTTCACGAATGGATAGAGTGGTTTTTGAATAAAGTTTTAATATATCATTTATAAGTTTTACATACATTGGCTAAAATAAAACGATATATGTTGGAGATGTCGTAAAAAATAAGCCATCTGGTATCTTTTAACGAAAACGCTGAGATATAACAAAATAATGTATGGTGGAATGATTGGTGAGTCGCTAGTATTATATATATATAATATATATATATATATATATATATATATATATATATATATATATATATAGTACACAGATAGACGGATTTATTATGACGTGAACAAAGACTGTTAGGTAGATTAGTAAGTATAGGATACCTTAATATTTACCTTTAGCTTGAGGGTAGAATTTGTAGCTTAAGGCAGCCGTTTCTGAGGTTCTGTCTCCGGAATCTCCAACCGGATATGAAAATACGTTAAGATCGGATAAGAAGTTTCGGAGTTCATCCCGGACCAATATCGTGACGCGGGAATTTTATATAAGATTAGCAAAAGCGGCTTAGTTAAAAAATCCATTTTTATCTGTATCTTAAAAACTTTCTCATCAATTGATGTGTACACGCTTTTTAAATTATATAATATACGGATGAAAGACTAAGTGGGGCAAGGTCGCCGTCGAGGCACGTAGAGCGCTCGAGTTGAATCAGTCACTACATGGGTTAAAACAAAGTTTTTTAACCGATATACAAAAGAAGAAATTTTAATTATGATTTAGGTACGTTTTGAGGAATAAAAAAAAAATAATTTTTTTTTTCGTGATTGATTGGTGATGATGTCATGATGATGTGATTAATTCAGATGTTTATATATATATATATATATGTATATATATATATAAACATCTGAATAAATATATATATACATATATATATATATACATGCTACTGTATATATATATATATATATATACATATATATATATATAGTTATTCTGCTATTCCGGGCGAAGACAAATCCAACAAAACAAAGATCATAAAAATCTGTCCAGCAATTCTCATGTTATACCTAAGTGTTGTGACAAACCTGACTTTGTTTTATATAAATAGATATGTTTGTATGTATGTTAAGCTTCTTTGATTGCTATGAAACCGATTGTGATTATCATTGTTCTTTTTTCATCAATAAGTCTTTATTATACATGATTCCCGCGAGAATTACCGACTACTTCCGACTAACCAATAGGACATAAGTTACGAGTATGTTTATTAAACACTGTACTACCACAGTCTACTACCTTAAAATCGTCTATCTAAGACGTTTAGACAGCAATGGCGCGATGGAGACAAGGGGAAGCGCTCCTGGCTTTGATACATAAATCTATACTTACAATAAAATTCTAACTGAGTCAAATCTGCACATTAAATATTTTTTGGAAAATCTTATTGAAATAGTCATTATTATCGATACAGAGGCCACGCCTCTTTGTACGAGTATGTCTGTCTGGAAAACATATCACATGAAAGCTGTTTGAACCCAGCTAGAACCATCTGTCTTTTTTTCCATCGTCCCATCGACTGTAGTGTCATACTTACTTTTATATGATAATTAGGAAACGGTTTTAAGGTTGACGGAAATAGCGTGTAACTTGCCATGAGCAGCAGCGATTTAACTTCGAAACCGTTCACCATGAAGATTGGCATTGGCAGCTCTTGTATTTGACAGCATTTCCGTTAAAATCGATGGACGATCGCCTCCTGTATGGTTTTTATACAGATTTTTATACTCTGAATAATTATATCCTAACAATTTATTATATGTAGTAAATCTTAACTTTAACTTGCGCTTCGCATAAAATAGTTGACCTCTAAAGCCTATGATATCATCTAACATATAGAGGTCAGATAAAATTAGTTGATTCAGCAACAAATTGTCTCACGTACTTGGTGGGAATATATCTATTAAAGCCTAAAATATTGTAAGTTCGATCTCACGCGATAGTTATTTTTATTGACAACTAGCGAGTTACCCTTGCTTTGCTCGTGTTCGTCCGTAGGTGGTGCGATTTGATACTAAAACATTGTCGTTTCATCTATACTAATATTATAAAGAGGTAAAGTTTGTGAGTTTGAGACGTTGTTGGAGGTAATCTCTGGATCTACCGAACGGATTTAGATGAAATTTGAATTTAGATAGTTTGAGACCCTGGGAAGGACATAGGATATTTTTTTTCTCGGAAATCTTTCCTTAAGGGGGTGAAAATGGGGATGAACGTTTGTATTGGGAATCAAGCTAGGGACGAACCTGAGCGAAGCGAAGGTGAGTCGCTAATTTTATATTAAATTAGGTAAGTTTTAACTGTTAGTATAGATTTTTTAGTGATGAGACATTTTCCTGCAGTAAAAAGTATCCTATATGTTGACCCCGATAACCAGCTATCATCATACCAAATTTCAAAGAAAAATTCTAAAAACTATAGATTTGGCCTCTGTGTCGATTATAATGATTATTCCAACAATATTTAACAGTACAGATTCGACTCAGTTAGAATTTTATTATATGTATAGATAGATATATCAGTGGCGTATATATTACTCAAGGTAGGTCCATCTGTGTACTAAACTTCATCCGTACGTAGCTTGAAGGAACGTTTTTTTGGCTAGGTCTGTCTATATAATTCTTTAGTCTGAGATATTCATATAGATTGGGAACAATATTGCGAAATATAAGTAGACTAGATTACCTTGTGTTGCAGGCCTTTCGATAATTTTGCCACTGACACCATTGATTGTAATGATTTATTTAAGGGCAGGTAGAAGCTGTTCGTTTTCTAAATTAAAGAAAAATGTATAAAACTAGCTACTCGCCCTCGCTCCGCTCGGATTTGTCCTTAGTTCCCCATACAAACTTTCATCCCCATTTTCACCCCCTTAAGAGATAATTTCCGGGATAAAGTATCCTATGTCCTTCCTAGCGTCTCAAACGATTTTCTTACCAAATTTTATCTAAATCGGTTCAGTAGATCCACAGATTACCCCCTAAATCGTCACAAACTCACAAACTTTACCTCTTTATAATAATATTAGTATAGATAAAAGTAGTTAGTTCCTTCTGTGTAAATAACAGCCTCAAATGAGGGAAATAAACATTTTAAATTGAACAAGATATATAGCAACCCTAGTTACAATTATTTACATTTTTTGATATATTTTATAGTCCACCACGCTAGCCATTTACGGGATGGCGGACTTCACATATCTTTCGAAACCTTGCTAGATTCTCCCAGACATGTAGGTTTCCTCACGATGATTTCCTTTAACATAAGACAAGTGGTAATCATGTTAAAAAATGATTCGCGAATGATAACATCAGATGATTGAGAACTTGGATTTGAACCCGCTTCACTTCGTTTTTCAAGTGAGCGTTTCACCACTGGGCAACTACTCCATATTGATATAACTAGTGCTCGTCTCGACCATGATCGTTTTTTATTTGTAACACTTAAACTCAAAAAAAATGGTAGACAAACACAGGAGATAAAGGTACTGAATTGCTTTATCTTAGCATATAGAATCCATACTAATATTATAAATGTGACAGTGTGTTTCTTTATTTGTTTGTTTGTCTTTCTTTCATGTCGAAACAGAGTGACAGATTAACATGGTTTTCTGTGTGGAGATAGTTGAAGGGCTGGAGAGTGACATAGGCTATTTTTACCGCAGGAGATAATCTGATTCCCACGGGAAAACACTTCATAATACAACCCAAAAAATATTTATGATCAGAATTACTTGAAACTTAGTATTAATGCTCTTCAATACAATTAAATAAATACTTGTTTTAGCATTTTTCAAAATTCATCCTATAAGGGGGTAAAATAGGGGATGAAAGTTTGTATGAAACCATATTTTTTAGAGTTTTTCTGTAGTTTTAGCTCGAGCGAAACCGCGGGTTCTGCTTACTATATGTGAAGCCTCAAATTATTATGTTTATGCGCCAAACAGTTTTTACTTTTCCCATAGTTAGGTCCAACCAGATGACGATAATTGTAAGAAAACTAAGGCCGATGCTACAATAAATTCACTACCACGGCCAATTTCTTTGAATTATGCAAAAAAATCTATTGTCTTAGGAAAAATGGGGTTTCCTTTAATTGAGAGAAAACTTGAACCAGATTTCATGTAATTATGAATCTATTATAAGAGAATATTATTTATTATTATTATGGATAATATAACTGGGAAAATGTAAAATGAGACTTCGTTCAATGTTAGGTTATTTTTGACCGATTTTACAAATGGAAATGATTTAAAAAAATATAACTCCACTCCACTTTATAACTAGGGGTCTTTCTTTCTAACTAGAACCAAAAAGATTGATTTTTTTGAATTTATATCTGTTTGTATGTGCGTTTGTTTGTTGTTTTGTTGTTTGTTTATAGTAGATGTAGCTGTTAATTCGGGTTCAAGCCCCGGGTTTTATCCATCTAAAATATAAAAATAATATAATAATATTCTTTATATGTAGTGAAAAATAATATTTTTTTATATTTATAAAGTATTATAAATTTTATTCTTTAACTAGCTTGCCCACGGCTCCAACCGCGTTCAGATGACCAAAGTTCAAATTCTTAGTTTTTACATATTAGTATACCCTTACATTGCACTTTTAACAGTTTTTCTCAGAAATAAGATATTTTCCCGCGGTAAAAGGTATCCTTTATGTTGACCCGGATAACCAGCTATCACCATATCAAATATCATCAAAATCCCTCCAGTGGTTTTTCTGTGATGCGGTAACAGACAGACAGATAAACAGACTAAAATTCTAAAAACTATAGTTTCAGCCTCTGTATCGATAATATTGTTTATTTCAATTAGATTTTCCTAAAAATATTTTATGTACAGATTCGGCTCAGTTAGAATTTTATTATATGTATAGAAAATATGTTTGTGAAATCCGCCAACCCGCCCTTGGCTAGCATGGTGGGCTACGGCCTGATCCCCCTCATATGGAAGGGAGGCCCACCCCCAGCAGTGGGATGTTAAAAGGGCTTAATTATTATGACTCGTTTTACAGATAAAGCTTGTGTTCTAAATAAAGTTAAAAATTATAAATATAATATAATGCTGTACTCTTAATAAAATATCATTATTTTCTGAGACCAGTGCGATACTGCCGTCCATTTTCGGAAGTCACATTAAAAATATTTTTATTTTTAGCTTTATTTATTAACAGTTATTTGTGTTTGTCACTTTTTAATGTTCCCACGCTTTTTAACGCACGTTTGACATTTTATAACGAAGGTCCGAATGCTTACAGCTTTATAAATAAAATTTAGACTGCCTCGGTGGTGTAGTGGCTAGCATTTACGGCTGCACACTCGGAGGTCCTGGGTTCGAGTCCCGGGTCGGGCCAAGTTTAGTTATTGAGTCTTTTTGTATAGTAAGTCTCAGTAACAGCCCGGAGTTGGGAAGTTGGCGGTGTTTCACCCCCGTGCCTCGGAGAGCACGTAAAGCTGTCGGTCCTGCGCCTTAACTCTCACTGGTCGTGTCGAGCAGTCGTCCCACCGGAGTATGAGAGTGACAGGAATAGAGAGTGCACTTGTGTCTGCGCGTACACTTGTGCACTATAATATCTCCTGCGCAGTTGGCTAGTCTCAATGAGATTGGCCGCCGTGGCCGAAATCGGCTAGGAGAACATCATCATAAATAAAAAGCCATTCACGATTTGTAGTAATATTTAAAAAAATACCTTATTGAAATTATAGATTGGTTTAAGAAATAAAAGAGTATTGTTTATTTTTGGAATGCTTCAATTAAGTGGAACTGAATTTTTTACATATTTTTAGTTTTTTTTGTTATGTACTATGGACTGTTTTTTTTAAATTCCTTTAAATAGATCCTTAATATAAGTGTATGTTTATTTGTGTGTGTTTTTAATGAATTTAAATGACATATTTTATTTATTTTTATTTATTTATTTTAGGGAATCAAACAGTACGATATTACATAAATAATTAGTAATAATAGATAACACATAAACCAATGAAGTTTCCATAAATTAAACAATACAAATAAGAAGCAGACCACAATGAAAATAAGAAAAACAAAAAGCTAAACACTAAACTAAAAGATTACAAAATTACATATTCTTATAAATTTATTATTCTTAAGTCGGTGTAATTTTTTTTATTAAATTATTTTATTGATTTTGCTCTCGAGGTTGCATGGTTTTATTTAAAATCGCAATAAAAAAATACTTATTAATACTTTCTTAGATTTACGTGAATATTTGACATTTTAGACAAAACTATCTTTTCGGATTTTTTCGCGGATATATTTTGATTTTTGGTTTCGGACGTTTCGAATGCTTTGCAGCAATCATGGTCACGGGAGAGATTAGTCTCTCCCGTGACCATGATTGCTGCACTTAATAAAAATAAATTTAAATAAATTAAAAATAACCTTAGGGTTATAGATATCTCGAAGGCATTATACAGGGTGTATTTTTGAGACGGGACAGTAAGGGCAGGTACCTTAATTGCTATAGTTACAGCAAAACGTTTCAAGGAGACCATCCATAACTTTTTGGGATATTCTGAACTGCATTTACAGATTTTAGAAAAAATTTACATGTAAGCGAAAAAAAATGCTAACATACCAAAAAACTTTTTTTATGTCAATCGATCCTATTTCATGTAGGGATCAAAAGTCTCTATGGGACCATTTAAGGCATGAGTACTAAAAATGACAGAATTCGCCATAAACTTTTCTCATACATTTTGTACGGAAAAAATATTAAATAAAATTAATTAAAGACAAGCCAGTCAAAAACACTTAAACTTGCCTTAAATTACACAATATTCACATTTATAGTTTATAGCACTCAACGATAATATAGCTGTCTATTAATGAAAGAATTATCGAAATCGGTTCAGTAGTTCCCGAGTTTATCGGCTACAAACAAACCTCTTTATAATATTAGTACATATTTAAATAAAACTATCTTATCGGATTTTTCCGCGCATTTATTTTGATGTTTGCTTCCTGACATTTGCGTTACAACAATCATGGTCCCGTGACCAAAAAATTTCGGAAAAAATCCGAAAAGATATTTTTATTTAGAATTTCAAATATTCGCGTAAATCTAAAAAATATATAATAAATATACGTTTTTTTCATTCCTTCATTCATTTTTGTACGAACTTTCTACTATATATAACCTAACCTAACATTGGTAAATAGGATACGGTATGCCAACCGTTACGACCCTAGTGACCATTCATCTAAAACTTGTTCTATTTTATTATATTTTTTGTGCAAATTAACAAAATTATAAAACATGTAATTAAATTATAATTATTTGATTCATGACCTTCACGCTTGATGAATAATGATTTATATTCACAAAAAATGGGGATAATATGCGATATGTCTACAATGCAAATGAGCGAGGAGCGGAGGGTTCCAGACCCCGATAAGATTCAACGTATCGACCGGCCGTCGCCGGCACATTACTAGCGTAAACAGCCAGGCCATACTGTACATTATAATCAATAAGGAAATATAATTTATGCTTAGAGTTAAATTAAAGAATTCATTTGTTGTCCATCCCCAGTCATACTCAGTTAAAACCCTTTAACATAATAATCATGATCCTGGGTTCGAGTAAATGTAAAGTGGACTCGTTTTACGCACTTAAGACTCCCTTTTGGTCCATTGTGCGTGCGAATTCTGGTTATATTAGCCAGCAAAGCTCCGCCCAGAAGTGCTGAAGTTTCTTGAGAACCTCACAGGCTTCGCGGAGCGACCTTACTGGTCCGAAGATTTCTTCAGGTTGAGAGGTTACCGCTACGTCCAGGACTACGTGGGCGACTGATTCTTCAGTGCCGAGGCACCATCTGTACAGAGGGGTGTCCAAAAAATTCTCACAAAATAATCTCAACGACCGCGGACACGCCGGTGTGTCAGTTAACAATAGATTTCTTAGAAATTTAATTAATTTCTTAGAAATTTACCTGGAGGTGTTAAATGTTAACAAAACTGACCATTTCTGTTTTATATACCGCTTTCAGAACATAATAGATTAACGCTTAATAATTAAGAGTTATACATATTAAAAGTTAAAATTATAATCAGATTACTATGATTTTAAAATAGAAATATGTTATTTACAATTCATACATACATTTACGATTTTTTTATTCGATTTTTGTAAAATATTGAATTATAAAATTAATTTATATTTAGCAAAACTTTTTAAGCCAATATTTGATTTTATTATCTGTGAATATTTTTCAGTATTTTTGGCGGGTAGTCACAAAATACCGCAAAGTTTGATAGTGTATGTGAATACGATCTGTACTCATTAAACGCGTTAAGGTTTTCATATTTTTTGCTATTTTTCATAGTTATTTCTCTCGTATTATCCAGTAGTTATTAGTTTTTGTTAATTTTCGTATACGTTTGTTTCTAGTTTTTTGTTTTGATAGTATATCATAGTCGATCTAACTGACGTTAACACGTAAACTATACGAGCTACTTTAATAAATAATAAACTATGTAAAAGTTACTTATCGGGAGTGAATCTTTGTAATTTATAATAATTAGTGTTAAAGTTAGTTAATTACATAAAAAACAACGTGCAAACATTAAGTTTTTTACCAAAAATTGAAGTTTTTAATGTTAATACAGTAAAGCTAAAGTTTTGTGAGCAGTGTTTGAGGTGAACGCGTAAGCGACGCGTTTTTCACGGCGCTTACGACCTTTTGGTCGCGACGTGTACAACGACGTTAGAAGCCGAGCTGGTATTGAGTAAATTTAATTGTAACTCTACCGACATTGGAGTAATTTAAGTAAATATGGAATGTAAAATATGTTCCGATATACTAAAATGCGAAGAGACATTGAAATGTGCGACTTGTTTAGGTTGTTTTCATTATTCTTGCGCTGGTTTAAAGGATAATGATTTTAAAAAAATACTTCCCATGAATAAAGCTAGATGGAAGTGTTCAACCTGTAAACTTTTAAAGAAAGGCAGTAGTAATATTAGCCCTAGATTAACTGCTGTATCTTCTGATAGCGTCTGCGCGAGTACTACCCAACTTCAATCACAATCAGCTCATGATAACAGTATAAAATCAATGATTGCTCATTTTGATGATCGCTTCAACAGTCTGCATTCTGCAATGGAATCATTTAAAGGTTTTATTACTGAAGAATTTCGCAAGCTCTCTGAAACTGTCAGTTCGTGGTCTACGAAAATTTCATTCATTGAGACCTCTATTAACTCCGTTGTAGATCGAATAAATGACATGGACAGAGAAATATCTAAAATAGATAACTACCGGACTGAACTTGAACAGTTGACTCTAAAGTTTAAAGAACTATCTGAAAATACTATAAGAAATGACCAATGGGTTCGTCGATCTAATATCCAAATAAACGGGGTACCCCATAAAAAAGGCGAAAATTTATTACAAATCGTTAAAAATTTGGCGTCTAAAAGTGGGTTTTCAATTAATCTGGACACGGACATAGACTTTGTTACCAGGGTAGCTGTAAAAAACGACACTGCCGACAGTAAACCGCGCCCAATTATCCTAAAAATGCAAGCGCGTTACAAAAAAGACGATTTTCTCGCATCAGTGCGTAAGTTAAAAGGATTACGGGCGTGCGATATTGGTTTCACTGGTGTTATGAATCCAATATATGCTAATGACCATCTATCCACATATAATAAAGCTCTGCTAAATGAAGCTAAACGTAGATGTAAGGAGAAGAGCTACTTGTACTGCTGGGTCCGTAATTGTACAGTTATGGTTCGTAAAAGTGACAGCTCTCCAGTCATACATATCACTTCAAACGAATGTTTAAAAAAAATTTCATAAGAACTACAACTACAGTGGGTTTTGTTATACTAATAACTATATTTATATGTTTGGTTTTTAGTTGGCTTTTAATTTTTAGATTTCTTTTTCACTATGCATTAATTGTATTAACCTCTCTTTATAACTATTATTTCGTGAATGTATTTAGGCGTTTTTATGTGGGCAACCTTAATTATTATCGGAGTTTCTGTAGGGCACCTTGGTCTCTTTATTTTCTTATCGACCATACGATTGATATGTTGCAGCTAATTTCTACTTTGTTGTTATTAATACACACAATTACTATTTTTATTAAGTTTTGTTTTCTCTTAATATGAATTTAACTATATATTATCAAAACGTTAGGGGTCTACGTACTAAAACAAAACAATTTTACTTTAATTTACTGAATAAAAGTTATGATGTAATTTGTTTGACTGAGTCCTGGTTGCTGGACGGAATTTTTGACGAAGAACTCTTTGACCCGCGCTATAGCATATACCGTAACGACCGTGATTATGCTCGTCTAGGAGTAAAGAGGGGCGGTGGCACTCTAATTGCAGTGCGGCATGGTTGTGCCAGTATAGATGTACGAAGCCTTAGCACGCTCCCTTGTTTACCTGATGCTGACATAACATACGTAGATTTGATTGTAGGACAGGACTCAACTAAAAACAAGTTACACCTGTTTTGTTGTTACTTTCCTCAGAGTATTCATCAATGCGACTCTGAAGCAAGTTTTTTTGAATTTTTGTCAGATTTATTAATTAACAGACCTAATGACAATTTTATTATACTGGGTGATTTTAACATCAGGGAGGCAGTATGGTTGGTTCAATCCGATGGAAATTTAACAATTCAAAATACTTCCGGTAGCAGTTTAATATTACAATTATTTGCATTTATGACATTTACTGGATTAAATCAATATAATAATATCTTGAACTTTAATAATAGATTACTTGATTTGGTTTTATCTAATATTGCCTGTTTAGTAGAGAGAACAACTCCTTTATCGTTGCCAGAGGATGCTCACCATCCAGCCCTGACCGTAAGCTTTGAAGGAGGTACTTCTGGCAGCAATCTCAGAGAACCATCTCGCATTGTTCGTCGCTTCCATGACGCTAATTATGATACTATTAACACTGAATTGAGTAGAATTGACTGGACGAAACAACTTTCATCAGATAATATTACAGATGCTGTTGATAAATTTTATCTCATAGTGAATGAAGTTATTGATAGACTTGTACCGACTAAAGTAGTTTATCATCACGGTAGATTTCCGGCTTGGTTTTCGAAACACTTAATTAGATTGATTAATAAAAAATTAAAAATACATAAATGGAAAATTTATGGACGACCTAGCGATTATGACCGCTTCTCAGAACTTCGTCGTGAAACTAAGGATCTAGAATTAGAATGTTATAATTTTTTCATAGAAATGGCAGAAACAAATATTCGCTATAATTCAAAACACTTTTGGTCCTATGTAAAATCAAAGCGATTTAGTAATTGTATCCCAGAGAATATGTTTCTTGATAATCAGTTTGGTTCGGATGGTCAAACTATAGCTAACTTGTTTAACTCATTCTTTCAATCTGTTTTTGAAGTTGACGGAAATATTAAAACTAGAGAACATATCTTACCTTCTAGACATAATATATCTATTGGCAATATTAATATAACTAAGGAGACCATCGAAAAATATTTATTAAAGCTTGATTGTTCCAAAGGAAGTGGCCCTGACCAATTGCATCCTATATTTTTCAAACGTTGTAGTAGTCAAATCTCTATTCCGCTACACATACTATTTATGAAATCTTTACATTCAGGTGTACTGCCACCAATCTGGAAGAAATCTATTATTGTTCCAATATTTAAAAATGGAGATAAGCATAATATTAGAAACTATAGAGGAATATCAAAACTATCTGTAATACCAAAATTATTAGAAAAAATTATTTATGATACCCTATTCCCCTTATTGCGACCCTTACTTATTTCACAACAACATGGATTTGTTAATAGACGTTCAACTGAATCAAATTTGTGCGAATTCCTGGATATTGTGCTCTCAGCTATGAGTAGCGGATTTCAAATCGATGCCGTTTATACCGACTTCTCCAAAGCCTTTGATAAGATCTCACATTCTATATTAATTCGCAAAATAGAGCATGCTGGTATACATGGTGATCTCTTAAGGTGGCTTGAATCTTATCTTCGCGACAGGTCTCAAGCGGTGGCTGTTAAGGGATTTATCTCTAGCTTTGTTCCCATTACATCTGGAGTTCCACAGGGTTCTCACCTTGGCCCTCTTCTTTTTAATATTTTCATAAATGACATTTTACAGTCTTTTCAAAATTCAAATATACTTCTTTATGCAGATGATACAAAGATTTTTAAAATTATAAAAACAAACGAAGATTGTGCAAAACTTCAGGATGACTTAGTTTATTTAGAGAATTACTGTAGATCTAATGGGTTATTTTTGAATATCGACAAGTGTTGTGTTATAACATTCTCCAGAAAGAAAGCGCCAATTATATTTGATTATAAAATTTTTAATAAACAACTGAAGAGAGTGTATGACGTGAAAGACCTAGGCGTGTTGTTGGATGCTGAACTTATATTTGATAAACATATAAATAATATAATTACAAAAGCATACAAAATGCTTGGCTTTATATTTAGAAGCGCTAGTGATTTTAAAAGCATACATACATTTAATCTGCTGTATAATTCATATGTTAGATCTCATTTAGAGTATGCTTCGACTGTGTGGAACCCGCAATATAACAAATATATTGAAGCAGTAGAGAGTGTGCAAAATAAATTTATAAAGCGATTGAGGTATAGATTTGATGTAGTTGAAATTAAAAATTTAAATATTTTATCATTGAAGCAACGTAGAGAATACAGAGACCAAATTTTTCTTTATAAAATCTTACATAATTTAATTGATTCCGATTATCTTCTAAGCAATATTAATTTCAAATGCCCAACTTTTTGCACCCGTTCTAAAGATACTTTTTGTGTCCCTATGTGTAGAACAAATTATGCCAAGAACTGTTTTGTAATTAGAGCTTGTAGATCGCATAATACATATTATAACCAAATTGACATATTTGATAGTAATATCAACAAATTTTCTCAAAGCATTAAGCATAAACTCGATCATCCTTGATATAATATGTATTTCTATATTCAATTCTCTTTTGATCCAGCTGTATGATATTCATGCTCCAGTTCGGCCTGTACGAGTCAAGCATCTTCCAGCTCCCTGGCTTACACCAGAAATCAAAAGGTTACAGATCAAAAAGAATGTTGCAAAAGTAAAATATGTTTCAAATCCTAGTGACGAAAATAGGGCAAAATATGTCAAGGCTCGGAATCGTTGCAACATGGTGTGTAGGGATAGTCAACGACGCCATATCTATAAATCGGTTGTCGAAGAAGATGACTCAGAAAAAGTCTGGCATTTTCTTAAGTCTCTAGGAGTAGGTAAATCTAGAGTAAATATTAATCCTAAAAACTTAGATTTAAATTTGCTAAATCAATATTTCTCTTCTTCTAGTATTATAAATAGTACAAATAAATCGAATACACTTAATCTCCTTTCAAATCTACCTACTCCTGACTTTCCCTGTTTCAGTTTTAGTCAAATCTCCGAAAGTGATGTTAAGAGAAATATTATGGCAATCAAATCTAACGCCGTTGGGGCGGATTGTATAAGTCGCAATATGATTCTTCCTATTATTAACTTTATTGTTCCTATAATAACATCTATCCTTAATGCCTCCTTAAATCTCCACAAGTTTCCTTCGTCCTGGAAAGATGGCCAAATTATTCCACTCCCAAAAAAACCTAATCCTTATTCCTTTTCTGACTACCGACCAATTTCAATTCTTCCTTTCCTATCCAAGGTCCTCGAACGCCTCGTGCATCGTCAACTAAGTATTTTTTCTACATCAAAATAGTCTATTAAATTCTTTTCAATCTGGTTTTCGTCCTAGTCATAGCACGGTTACTGCGCTAACTAAAATAACAGATGACGTTAGAGAAAGCATGGACAATAAAAAGGTTACGGTATTGACACTATTAGATTTTACAAACGCTTTTAATACAGTAGATTTCGACATTTTACTTGCCATTCTAGCTTCTCTTAACATATCTCCTGAGGTGGTTGACTGGTTTCGTTCTTACTTGTGTGATCGCCGGCAGCGTATACGAATTGAAGATTCGTGCTCTGAATGGTCTATAATTAATGCTGGTGTTCCACAAGGTGGCGTCTTGTCTCCTCTCCTTTTTTCAATTTTTATTAATTCTATCTCTCAACAAATTTCTTCTCCCTACCACCTGTATGCTGACGATTTGCAAATTTATGCCATGACTACTGTGGAGAACTTGCCTATTACCATTAATAATATAAATAAAGATTTGTCACTCATATCATCATGGGGTAATTCATATGGACTCAATCTAAATCCAGATAAATCTCAAGCAATTATTTTAGGCAGCCAGAGACTATTATGCAAAGTTAAAAATATGCACATACCACCCATACTTCTTAATGGTGTCCAAATTATGTTTACTGATAAAGTGAAAAACCTGGGTATTTTAATTGACCAGTGTTTATCGTGGGGACCGCAGATAAGTGAGATGAGCAGGAAGATGTTTGGAGCGATTGCTTCTCTTCGTAGATTAAAAAATTTTCTGCCCATACCTACCAAAATTGCGCTAGCAAATTCTCTTCTACTACCGATTCTTGATTATGCTGACGTTTGTTATCTTGATATAAAAGAAGAATATTTAAATAAACTTGAGCGACTTCAAAATCTTTGTATACGGTTTATTTTCGGCCTTCGGAAATATGACCACGTTTCAGAATTTCGTAAAAAACTCAAGTGGCTTCCTATCCGTTTCCGCAGGAATACTCACATTCTCCATCTTCTTTACTGTGTGCTATTTCACCCTTCAACTCCTTTTTATTTAAAAGAGCGTTTTGAATTTTTAAG